TGTGCCTTTGTTTGTATCTATAATTTGAATGTTTAAAATTTCAATGAAGAACTATAAAGAAACATGAGGGTGACATTTGATAGGACCAGAGAAAAATCAATTTTAACAAACTAAGCAAAATTATATATAATGATGAACAATGCTCTAAAATCATGATCTTTCTGCCCTCTTCAACTTCCAAGGCAGAAAATAGGCTCCTTTTGCTGATGCTGAAGGAGAATATGATTGCAATGGCATAGCTGTTCAGTCACAAGCATATAAGGATTATTTAGAAAGCTTTGTCTTTTAGAATTAAAGATGTGCCCTGACTTTGAAATCTGACCTTATTGGGAATCTGTGAAGGAATCATTTGATACTTTGATACTGCTACAGCAAACTTTCCTCATTTCCAAGAACAGTATTGGATTTCCGAGAATGGTTTTGCCACATTTTCCCCCAGAGGAATCCAGTGCCCAGACAGTTGATGCTGGAGTGGTTTCACAGTGTTCAGCAGACAACAGGTACTACACAAATCTTCCATTTGTATGCCAGGCTCTAGTGTGTTGAGTAAGGATGGGGCTGAGAAAAAGGAGGACTCTGCAGGTGCTGAGGTCTCTTTTAGTAGCACAATAAAAGCCTGTCCCAGCTGCTTTTCTACACTGGTTCTCATCACAAAAGAATATACCCAAAGCTTCTGGGCACAGACAGGCAGGCACAGACAAAAATTTGGTGCTATCCACAGAGCTAAATGTGACATTGAACAAAACTTTGTTCCTCCTTTTTGTTTTAAAGTCAGGCCTAGTCCTACCCACAGTGCAGGAAGCATAAGGAAATGGCTAAAGGTGGTACTAGATTTCATTTTCCCAATCTGCAGCACCATATTTGCTGTACAAACAGCTCCACACAATGTCCCCTCTACTTGCCAAGTTGGCCTTTAGAAGCGCTGGGTGGTGGCAGGAGGCCAGCACCACCTTTGAGACTGATATCACTGCCAATCTGTGACATGCCTGCAAGCAACATATTTTCATAAAGATCCATGCTCCTCATTCACCACTGAGACCAGTTCTTATTTGTGTTTAAATCCCTATATATGGCAGAGTGCCACCTGCAACGCCCAGGAAATCCTCAAAGATGCCAGCTTGAACTGAAAGGTATTTTCCATGGTAGCAGTTAAGGTAAAAGCACATTTAACACTCCCAGTGCTTGGAAATCAGCTAAAATTTGGTAGCTATGATGCTGTTGTTTTCTGCTGTCCTACTTGAAAAAATCAGGAAACGTAAATGGAGGCATATCTGGGAGCACACGTATTCCAACTGCCCTGCTCATCCTGCTCCACTCTCCCTTGTGTGCTGACTACGCAGTGCAGCAGCCTGGTGGAAAGCAGGTCCTCTCCTCTGGGTTCTGGGGAGCTACAAGTGAGGTATAGCAGTAGAAAGCCCACGGCCAAGATCCTTGCAGATTGAGCTGCTCTCTTCATGGGAGGTTTCCAGCAACCCAGAGCTGGTCTCTGTTTGGACAGTTTTGCTTTGACCAAGATGGTGCAGCCCAGAAGAATCCACTCCAGGTCTACAGCGGCTGCAGGTCATGCCCATGGCTGTAATACCTTGTCTGCTGTCACTGGCAAAGCTTTAGGCAGTGTAAGACGTGGCTCAGTAACTTCCTTAAGGAACTTACCAGCCTAAATGTTTGGCAATGCTGAGACCAGCTCCATAACACCACTGGGACACTCTCCTCCTGCAGGCTCACCTTCTCTAGCCTGATGGTGCTTCTTTCTTTTATGGAAAAATGCACAGGATTTGGAAGCTTTTATCAAACCTTGCCCTTGATCCACTGTAAATGCAAATGCAGCCTAGTGTACACAATGCAGACAAGTAAGGAGTACGAGCGGGGTGTTTTCCAAGCCCTGCTGTACCTCATTATATAAATTATTAAACTTTTAAGCACCTAAGTTTCCCAACTGGCAAAACAGCACCTGTCACAGGAGAGCAAGCAGATTCCCACATTTTTCCAACAACCAACTGGCTGTGTAAGCATTGTCTGGGCTCATACAGGATCCAAACAGGGAAACCAGTATCAAAATTCAGATGGGTACTTAGAGAAGAGGCTGACAGTCAGACTCAGTCCTGCTGGGTCCTTCACCTCAGCCCCTGGAAATCGGATGAGTAATTGTAGTTTCTTGTGTTAGCTGCCACTTATTTTTACTGTGAAGCTGCCTGACCCCTCCTGCTCAAACTTCCTGAGCTCTCTGTATTAGTAATTTTTCCACTGCTGGATTTCCCACGCAGGTTGAAAAAATACAAACTCATCTTCACAGAGAGCACACATCCCTAGAAAAATGGGCAAGAGCACTCCTGTCTTCAGTCATGTGACACAGTCAACTAAAGGGTGTCCAGCCTGCATTATGAAAATAACTAGCAGCTGATAATTTCTTGCATAGCACAACTACTGCCTTAATCTATTTCCTGAATGGCTATGGATTTTCCCTCTTCAAAGAGGCAAAGTTCCAAAAAACTCTCTGTAAATATGTATCTCTCACTGCCAAACCTAGAGAGACAAAGAAATTCCTTTCTCCTGCCTCTACTTGCTCAAATTTAATTAGTACCATGATTTCTTCCTGTACTAAGGAAATAGCTTCTCCTTCTGCAGGTCACTCCAGCACAACAGACACTAATATAAAAACAAGTTCCTGGTAAAATGCTGTAATATAGAGAAAACTCTTCAAAACTGTCTGTAGAAATCCTATTACATCACTGGTCAAGCTCTTTGGCCCCATGTTACCAGACACTGTATGTAGCAGCTACAGCTAAAACTCGTATAAGACTCCAAATTTTCTGTAACCACTCTGTCACACTGGTCACCAGGAGTGTCCAGTCATTTGTGCTGCTAAAGGCAACAAACACCTTCCCAATACAGCCATGCTGTATCCAGGAGAAGGGTGAGGTGTGTCTGGGCAGCACCTTCTGGGGGCCCATCTAAGCCCTGGCCTCCCTGTTCTTACAGAGCAAACCTCAGCACTCCCTGCCCCAGGTATGAGGCACCTTTGCTTTCATCTTGTCCTCTCTGACTAACTTACATGGACATGTGTGTGCTTGTGTAATTATGTATTTTTTTGGTGGTTATACATAATAAGAACAGTCTGCACTGCACACAGGTCTTTCCCGAGGGAGAGGACGAGCATATAAATTATGGGACAGATGTTAGTCATGCTGCTTATTGAAACAAGAGATGGTAGCATTCAAATACTGAAGTGGTAAGTGTGGCAGGATTGAATATTTTTAGGTGTGTGTTTCTTATAACCACATTTTCAGAGGGGGTGAGCACTAAAAGCCTCTTTGACTTCATTTGAGACATAATGTTCCATTTCTATTTCTCATTCGGAAAATATTAGATTAACTGAGGGCAGATCTACCTCAAGTGACACTTTCCTGTACAACGCAGTTGCTCCAATCAGGTGGCCCTTGAACTTTCCGAGACCTCTCAGTGAACACTAGTTAGTGCCTTTTTAATATTATTTTTATCTTGCTGCTAAAACCAATTGCCAGCAAATCAGTCAATGACCTAAACTCCAGTTAAATTTCAAATCCAGTGTAGAGCATTGGGAGGGCTAATTGCTGTTTCTTACAGCTCTTGAATATACAGCTGAGGGTGTAGATGCACCAGAGAAGGTTTTGCAAACATATGCTCTGTTAATGTAGTGCCTGGTTGTTTTTAACAGCCATCGTGCCACAGCTCTCCAGAATTTGTTGGATGTTTTACATTTTTACAATCCAGTGGCATGCTATAGACCAGCTCTTTGGTGGGGAGGGATTTGCATGCTGTTTGATGTATGTGCCAGCTCGTGGCCTGCCGCTCCCTAGAGCAAAGGCTCATTTGCATAAAACATGCATCAAAAGGAGGTTTACTTAGGTGGTAGCGCACTCAGATGCCTGCCGGAGAAAGGAAACGTGCTGTGGTGGAGGTTGAAAGCTTCTGTATGTATCTTTTGATAGTGTCCATAAACTTCATCTGATGACATCCATACAGAAAAGAAATCAAAATTCATCAGAGTAAAAGATCTAGAGAGAAAAGAGACAACAAAACCGGCCATGGCTTATATGCTATTCCCTAGACATTTCTTCAGTCACCATCTTGCCTAGTGCCTCATTAGCACAGAAAAATGTGAGGCTTTAATCACAAAGACTTCCTAAGTAGATTAAGGACCAATTATCACTGTCCATTTAACTTATCTTTAAAGGTCTGTATTGTATTTCTCTTCTTAATCTGAGCTGAGCTTTTACACACAAATACTGTTTCAAAACAGCAGAGCAAATACTATGTGACTCAGTGCCTCTATTTCCAAAGGCCAGCTCTGCTGCAGTCTGAGGTTAAAAGTTGTGTGATGCTGACAGGGGATAGAAAACAATACTAAGATGTGTGGAAAAGTCTATCTGGTTTGAAGGACAACTCCACTCTATTATGGAAAAGGCCATTTTATAGGCCAAGGTGTCTGTTACTAAGGTTCTGGTTTTACCCCTCTATATATACATATGCATAGCTAGATATAAAAAGATAAAATAGTCTTTCTGTTTTAAAGATGCATACATAGATAGATAGATAGACAAACAGACGGATAGATAGATGCTTCTTTATCCCTCTTTCTTTAGGAGACTGTCTTCAATATATACGTTTTGTTGTGTTGTCTTCTGTGACTACCTTAGCTGTTTATAAGTGGTTGCTCTTTAGTTGATGTATTTTAGAAAGATTTAATGCCTCATGTGCTGCCTGATGTGTTTTATTTCTATATAGTAGCTGTGGAGGTGCTGCCTCTAGGCAGCTGGCAGTGAACTTTCTGCATGCAATACAATATTTTCTGTTCAAATGATTGTTTCTAGGCTGTAATTACTATGTCTGCATTGCAGTATGCACCAAGCCTAATCAGTTCATCTGTCAGTGTTGTCTCTGCTACCCTGACAAGAGACTAAAACCATTGAAGGCCTGACCTAACAGATGTCAAGGTTAAAAATGTCTCACTGCTTCTTCAGGTTGGCTGTTCTCTCCTGTAAGACCATGGAGACTTCAGAAAAGTGTGTGTGGATTTTTAAACTGGATTTTACTGAGTGACCTGACTCCCACAGAAAGAAGCCTTTCCACATATCCAAAGCTTTCTGGTATGTAGGTCACAGTAAATTTAGTTAACTTGCTAAGTAGCTCAAATCATAATTTAATTTTGGTATAGGGTGGTGTTTTTTTGTTTTTGTTGGTGGTTTTTTTTTTGTTTTTGGGGTTTTTTTTTTCATTCAGGTCAGGAGTGGCCTCAGGTAATAGTGGGGTACTTCCTTATTCTATTCCCTATCCTGGCTCCATTTGAGTCTCAGAGTTGCTTCTGCCTAACCTGAAGAACCAGCACCAGAGGGATCGTCTGTGCTGGCATTGGTATGACTTCAGGGTAACTAACTCCAGTGGGAGAAACCAGAAAGCCTTGTAGTGGGACTGGTTAAATAAACCAGTTCTGGTTTGGAAGCCGGCAGTGGCTGAGCAGTGCTTGTGGGACAGGGTCCGCAGTGAGTGGAGGTTCTCTCAGTTCTTCAGGAAGGATTAATGTAGATCAGGAGTGCCGCTGGTCACCTAACCCAGATCTACGGGCCAAGAGTTCAGGCAGACTCTTCTAAGCATGGACATGTTTCTATGGAACTATTTAGCTCTGTGTTAGGAAGATGCAGTAATTATTTGCTGAGTAAAAGTAACACACTGCCATTTTGTGTGGCCTCTCATCCAGTGGTACAGCCAAGCCACAGGTCCAGGACTTCTCCCTTTGAAATCAGAATCAGATTATTGTTTACCAAACACAGCTCAGACTGTTGGTTTCCAGGGGCTCTGTCTTTCCTGTCTTCTCATTGCTATTCTCCTCCCAGTTATTTCATGGCCCTTTTTTATTAAAAAAAAAAATAAGAAATTAATATGCTTTTATTTAATATGGCTACACATCAGTTCCTACTTGTAAAACATTCAGGATGCCTGTACAACGTATTTAACTTCCATTTTTATGGGTACGTAGTGAAGTGGTGTTGTTGTCAGAAGCATCACAGACTGAGGGGAACACAGATAATTTGTGAAGCCCCGGCTTTGATTTTTGTCTGAGATGTGATTCCCATGACAAACCACAGTGACATTGTAGTAAGAAAACAGCCTCTCAAAAGTCTTTGGTTTTGTCATGGAAATAGCTGAGACAAAATCACGACCTTTTTTGTTCTTCCTCTCATTCATATATGCAAAGTGGATTTTTTTTTTCTGTCCTGCCAATGCAGTGTGCAGAAAATCAAGCAAGGAACAACACAATACATGTCCTCTCTCAGACAACATCAGCAGTCAAGGCCATATTTTAAAGATAAACATGCTGAAGCTGTAGTCAGGGATTTGTGATAAAAGTTCCCAAAATGTCCTAGTCACTTAAGTTTCCTCCCTGGGTAGAAAATCAATGAGATTTCTGTTCTTAACTGCTAAGCACTTAACATTGCAGTTCTTAATAGATAAAATGTATGAGCTGTTCCTCTCCTATGTAAAGTGGGAACTTTTTCCAAAAACCTTTTCCCCGAAATTGTGCCCCACAGCCTGTTGCTGCAGGGTTTAGTACTTTGGAGCCAAGCTGGTTCCAACCAAGTGAGAAAGAGGTGCCTGCTGAGCAATGACTATGGGATGAGCGTGTTCATTTGCACTCAGCTCTCTCCTCCTGCAGCCTAACCCAGAGGGATCACAGTGGGAAAGAGGGGCAGGAGGAGGATGAGTCAAGTACCTGGGTCCACGACATTTTTGTGAGTAAACCTCTTACAAAGTCTTACTGTAGGAATTAAAAAATCCAATTAAGGTATATAAAAAAACCTTAAAACCCAAACAGCCCAGGGATTTAAAAGAACAAAATTTGCTATTGTTGGCATTTAACAGGATTCATATTGCATAGCCTACCAGCACTCTTCCCTTTTAGTACAGTGTCTGCTTACATTTCTCAGCCAGCCTTGTTGCCACCAAGAGACATATAAAATTCAATATCCAAACCACCTTCTTTCTTCTCCTCATTTAGATATCCAGCAGCTGCCAAGTACACTGATTTTTAACTTTTTTTTTTTTTCCTGTGACCTTCTCTCCTCAGATCTCAGTCCATCACTCTGAGCAAGACTAACACAGGCACACAGGTGCCCTGTCCCCAGCAGGGGAGTGTTTCTGCCACCCATCTTTTGACCTCCTGCAGCTCTAACCTGCAAATGATGGCTGTCAAACCAGGGACGCCTGAGGAGCTGCTTTGGGCATGTGTAGCACCACTCCACCTTTGCCTTCAAGGAGTTGCTCCATTGGAAGCATCACTTTTTTTCAGGACAGATTCAGGATGAGAGGCTGCACCAACCTTGCTGAAAAGCACATTGATCCCTCCCTCCCTGGCAAGATCCTGCCCAGATCACCAAGTGCTCCCAGGATTTGTCACTTTTTTTTTTCAGAGGATGACAAGTTTGGCATCCAGAAATTGTTTGTACACTGAGAAAAGACCGAACAATGAGAGAAGTCCTAAATCTACCCATAGACCAAAATAAGAAAAAGGTGTTTTTTTCAGAAACACATGATAGTTTTTTTATTCTTGAGACATCTCTCGCCCAGACCTGAGGGCAGAATGTCTTATATTCCTGCAAGATGGATAATAAGGATGATAAGCAGGGAAGGGAAGCAGACTTTGCTTAAAGCCATTAAGCCTCTCCACAAAACAGGCTGGGCTCTGTGGAGACTGAAGGCATTCCCTGTCATTTCTATGAAAATTATATGTACTCAGCAGCCTAATAATACTCTAGCATGTTGTAATGATTTACATAAAAAGAAGTCAAAACAAGGGAAGAGGGAGTGAGCAAGAAATGGGGTATCTCCAAAGAGAGCCCAGGGGAACTTGATGGTTCAGGTGTTCAGGAAAGGAAGGGACTGGGAGAAGATGCATGTCTTGGGGTACCCTGTGTTTACAGAGATTTCCTCTGTGCACAGGGGAACGTGAGGGGAACATATGGGGAAGGGGGTGGTGGGGAAGGATGGTCCAAGCCTGATGCTTGTCCGGGCACTGAGGCACAACACAGATGTAGTGTTGCCATGTTGTGCTATTTAGTGTATACCCCTGTGGGCTTGGATAGGTGAGTTAAGAGGCAGTACACCACTACCAGTGGTATGTATCCATGTCCCCCTGTTGTGTCAAGGGGAGGACAGCATGTTGTGGTCAGATGACTGTGGAGAGGCATGAAGGAAAGTGGGAGAAAGGGCTGAAATGGGAGAAAGGGGTGATTTTTCCTTCTTATGGTGCCCTCGTGCACACAGCAGTGTTGTGGCAGGATGGTCACCCCAACACCCTGGGATGCTGCAGGCTCCCTAAAAGCTGTCTGGAGTGGGATGGATGCCACAGGTCACAGTCCTGCTCTTGATCCCCTCTGTGTTGCACGAGCAGGCATTATCCCAAGGCCTTTGTCTCTGGCACCACAAACCTCCGGGTGAAATACAGCTATCTATTTCAGCCTTATCAGAAGGAGCTGTGACAGATGTATTCATATCCTCTTACACTAACTTGTGTGGTAATCTGTGAGGCTTCTCCTGCCTCGATTATTCACAAGGCGATAATTCAGATACCCCACAGACACAGAGTGAGCTGCAGATCTTCTAAAAAGGCTTTTTCATTTTCTCTCAGAAGCTTTTAGAAGAACCTTAGATGGACCAGAGACTTGTAATTTATTTTATAATTTATGTAAGTAATTTTGGAGCATGATGGAATAACGTGAGCTTCGTTAGGATTCTCCAAACCCCACCAGAAGCTATACCAGAAGAGGAAAGCCCTGTTGTTTCCAAGGAGCCAGTAGAAAACATGATATTTCTCAATGTCACTGTATTTGCTAATGAGACTAGAAAGGAGATTATGTTTTATTAATGTGATTCTTTTTAAGATCATCCACAGAATTTCTATTTGTGCTTAACCTTCTTCTTGCTATTGCTACCTCTCTTGCTTTTTTTTCAGTGATTCTTGCTGTTTCAGAAGCACTTTACCTGTCAAGTCACAGAGAGCTGCTTATCCTCACAGAGCTTCTTATTTCAGGATGTCCAGCAGCTAATTCTGCAAACTGGTGTGTCCTTGACCTGAAAGGCAAATACCATTTACTGGTATCAAAGCAACAGATTAGTCCCCTGAATTTTCTTGTGCATCATTAAAAAAAAAAAATATTGCAGCTGTCACAAGAAAAAGAATATAATTTTTACTTGCCTGTCTTCAACATTTCTCATTCCTTTGCAACTTTAACTTACTTCATCTAGGAGAAAGAGCTTTTAAGGACGTAGCAACCTCCTGCTATCCCTGCAAAGCTACTACTGGTAATTTTTGAAAACAAACAAGGATTTGTCAGTTGTGGCTTAGTCTTCCTCAATAACCATTGTGACTCTTGTTTAACCTTCAAAATGCTGCTTGCATATGCTTCTCCTTCCACTCCCAAAATGAGATTAGTGCAACAATTCAGCAAAGTGTTGCAGAAACAAGATTTTCAAGCATGCAGAGTGGCCACCATGGACAATTTTAAGCATTCAGACTTTGGGATTATACTTAATTCTCATGTAAAACGCTATCAGTGAGGCTTTGAGGCAGCTGGGAAAGAAGTTATGACTAATATGATTATTGCTGGTCAGCACTGGCACTGAACAGCCCTTGTTTTGGCTGGGGCACCAGAGAGCCATTACATAACAGGGGTTTTCAGTCACTGCCTGTCTTTGTAAGTGGTCATTTTTGTAATGATAACCCACAGGTAGACATTTTGACACCAGTTCAATAACTACAGCCCTCACTGATACGGTAGAAACCAGAGCAATTGGCTGCTATTTGAGAGCTAGGGAGTTTGTTCTTATCCAACAGCTGAATTAAACTTCCTAGAAAGCCAGCCATGATGCAGCAGGATGGGATATGAGGGGCTTATCCCTTGACAGAGCTAACCAGAAAGGCTTCTAGGGATCCCAGATGGTGCTCTTCAACAAATGAGCCTCAGAAAGCCTCAGTAAAAGAAATGGAACAGGAATGAGCCAGCTCAGCGATGGGATAACTTGTCAGAGCAGTTCTGGGGCTCCAGAGAAAGCATGTGGCCAAACAGATGGTCCCAGGCAGAGTAGCTTGAGAGGTTTCCACCTCTTGGAAGCATGAATTCTTGGCTGCATTTACTTCTCAGTGTTAGCCACCAGTTTTACAGAAGTCCTGGTTTTACTGGTCTCTGTGTGTAATGCAGATGATCCGTAAGCTTGGATTAATACTGGACATGCAATATTTTTGGTATTATGTTTAGCCAGTTGGTTTTCACTCCCATAAACGACTGAGAGCAACAAGCCATACGGCCTCAGAGAAACTCAGGAGATGGGTCCCACTATCTGCGTGAGCAGATGTTTTGTGGAGTTCAGTGAGGGAATTTAGAAAATTTCTCACGGCCTTATCCAGTGTTCATAGGAGTATGTAGAGCATAGCATAATTTTTGGCTTTGCCATGACTTAGTTCGTATAGGGAAGCATTCTGATTCCCTTACGAGTAAAGGAGAAGTTTGAGGGCTTTTTTTCCCACCAGTTAAATGAACCTGGGAAGTACCATCATAAAAAAAACATCACAAAGCACTCGAGCAGATTGTAAATACTGAGAGTTTTATTTCCACTTCACATGGTCTCCAGCAGACTCTTAAACAAGACCAGTTACAATTTAGTATGCCCAAAGATCTCCATGGTTCTCCCAAAACAAAGGAAGTTCTCAGTAAACACTGTACATAGCCAGTTGAACTGCTAACAATAATTTAAAAACTCTTTTTGTATAGTCAATGCAAGAATACCAACGATAAAAGTACAGTACAGGTAAATTCACAACAATATTACAGTGAAACAGATTGACTCACATTTACGTGATGGTACAGTAGCAGTATGTACATGCACTAAAGTGCGAGGACCCAGAGGCATGCAAGTCAAGTATCGTAGGTGTATTTTACAGCTAACTCCGTAAGACTTTCTGAGGCATTTTTTTTAACACATTTTTTTGTGTTTACCTGTATTCCCCTCCATCTCAATTGATCACAAGTCTAGTGAACGAGCTTAATGGCTTTCTTCACTACTTAAAAGGTATCGCTTCAGACAGTTGAAGCATCTTTAAGAACCTTACCTTTAAAAAACTGATAACACTGACATTAAAATAGAATAAAATTAACTTAAGACCCTAGTTTTACATGAAATTAAAAAAAAACCCAACCCAAAAAATACCCCAAACCAAAACTGAAAACATAACAGTGCAAATATAACCAAAAGGCAGTCAGTATTTGGAGAGAGCGCGAGCATGTACTCAAATTCCCATAAAACTTAATTTACATTTTATTTTAAATCTTACTTTATATCATTTTAACCTTTTTTTTTTTCTCTGTTTTTGTTAATATACTGTATGTAGAAAAGATGGAGACAAAAATAGTTTTCTCAGCTATGAAAAAATTAAGTTATTACAGGCACATTAACTGTTTCATTCTAGAAACACCTCTGTTTCCCAGGTCGGACATTCAGCAGCTGTTTCTGAGAACATTCTTTGACCTCTCCAAGCGGACCTCCCTCCTTCGTGGCAGAGACGGCTGGCGGGCAACCTGGTGGCGGCGAGTTGTGGCCCCCCCGCCCCGTTCCCATGCGGAGTCAGGCCGGATCGCCTCCCTGGCTGGGGGTCTCTGCCAGAAGCTCCTTGCTTCCGCACTCCTCTGAGGAAGTCAGGTCTCCGGTGGACTGCGACTGTGAGGCAGTAGGGGAATGTGAAGCCCATCGTGATGGTGGGCGCCGGTTCGCTGGTCTCTCTGGCCGGGAGAAGCAGGGTTGGAGGGACGGGGCTAGTGCAGAACAAGGTAGTTCCTTGGCAGCCAAGAGAGCAAAACAGCGGTTAGTGACTTGCATTAGAGGCCGTCTGGATGCGCAAAGAATTAAGAAACAAAACCTTCAAACTAAAGCTAAGCATCTGTCATGTGGCGGGGCAAAAGCAAGCAGCAAACTGTCTGGCTGAGTGTGGGCTCCAGGAAGCTGCACGTGTGTCCATGAGTTATGGAACAGGTAAGGAGGGAATGAAAGAGGTCTGAGATGAAGTAGCTGACAAACTTCCATTTGCTAATCCTCCTTGTGCTAGAAAGAGAAGAGCTGAAAAGCACATTTGCATGATAATTCAGGAAAATGTGCTATTCATTCACTTTACTAAGTACTGACCTACCATAAAAGGGCCCAGTCTGGCATTTGCAAGAGGGGTGAAAATCAACTGCTCACTCCTTTTGTCTGCTTCAGAGTTCACAGTGACATGCAGGAGACTTCTTAACAGCAGAATAATGATTATGGGAGTAGTCACGATCTCCAGCTGGGTTACAGATGAGGCTTACCTACAGATTTTGTCTTCTGGAACATCACTTCTTACTGCCAGCTGCTGAAGCCTGAATTACAGGATTCAGAGGTACTGGATGTTAAAGACGACATTCACAGAAATGGAAGAAAATGGAAATTTTATTATTCCATCAACTTTCTACTGTTCAGGCTTGGTTAGCTCGCCTTTGCGATTAGAAACAATTTACAGTTGTGATTTTTCACCCTGGCCCTAAGTTGGTAATACCTCTAATATTTATGGACTTTGCTCATAGCACAGCTGGGCTTTCTGCCTCACTGTGAATCCTCCTTACACCAAGCTGAGTGACTGTGGGAGCAAACGTGTCTCACAGTGCCAAAGCCAAGCTTCTGAATTTCACTGCACATTTTGTGATTTATAAAAGCAAATCAGAGGAGTTTGTCAACCAATAGCAATGTGTACACTAAGGAGCAGTCACTGGAAAGGACAGAGGAGATCAATAAAAACCAGTCTCAAAGTCGGAATGGAAACTGGCAACAAACGAAGAGAGAGACCAAAAACAACACAGTGCAAAGGAAAAGCTCTGGCATAGTAAGGCACAGAGAAACCAAGGCAGCAGTAGAACAGTGCAGTAGGGATACAAGGATTCAGCACACTGTTTCACATGGAGAAGGAGAAACATGACTAGGGGTGGAGAATATAGGAATAGGTAACATGATGTGATTGGCAGTGAACAAACAAGGTGATATGCCATTGAACTTCTCAATTGGAGTGGGAAGACCAAACACGAAGACAAAAATGTGGCAGAAAGATCAATTTTGAAGACACAGAGCTGAGATATGAGAAATGGAGCTGGTGAGACATGCTTTGGAGAGAGTGCATTTTCAGCCTCGGGGAAGCCTCAGTAAAGGGTCAGTTGTGGTGCCTTTGGGCAATGTGCAGCCAACAGAGAACTGTGCACCGGTGCTCGAGTCAGACCTTTGCCCACCTGCTCTCAGCACTCACAGAGAGCGAGGCTAGTGAGCCACTGCAGGAGATGGTCAGGGGCTATGGATCCTCAGCCTGAACCACTTCCTACCTCTCTGTGTCCTCATCCCCCACCCCATCCCTGCGCCATAAACTTCATGACCCTTGCTAAAACAACAGTAAGGCTGAAATATAAATCGGTGCTAACAAAAAGATTGACTGTGTGTCCTTACTTCACCTTATCCCACTGTGCCCGGGGCAACATATGGTCTGTGAAAGCTGCCACTAGACTCAGATTTGTTAAGAGAAATCTATCTGCACAGCAACACTCACGGGCAGCACATCACGGAGAATTGAGGCTATGAGATTTGCGGGTTTTGTCTTAGCCTCTTTCTAAACAGAAGCTTAAAATGATATCTTTATAGCACTGCTTGCTTCTGGCTGCTTTATCCTAGTTTCAGAGCAGTAAATCAGAGTTAGCATAGTGATCATGAAATTTATTTCCACTGCTGCCTTCCAGTTGAAAAGCCTCTCTCCATCACGCCCGCAGATGTTGGTCAGCTTTCACCAAACAGCAGGGTTAAGCTCATCTTATCTGTGATGTACACATGCCCAGCACCACACAAGGCTGTGCTGGTGATGGCTCCAGGGCCAAAAGCGACTGGCAGCCTAATCTTATAACGTGCTGGCTGCTGAGTCAGTCACCCACGCCTGCTGTGTGGAAATCCAGCCACGACAAGGAAACTGTGGAACGGTTTGTGAAAACCCTTCCTCACCTTCCAAATGGAGCTGTCATAGCTAGAAATGTTTGAAAAAAAATTATCCTGTGGGTAATTTAGTTTGGTTGTTCCTTGGGGGGGTGTGGGTGGACAGGCAGCACTTCTTAGTCTGAACATTGAAAACGGGAAAGACTATTTCAGCTCCAATTTCTAGCTATTTCCTAAGCCAGGTTGTCAGCCACCATGGCTATGCCTATATTAATTAAAAAAAAAAACAAAAACAAACAGTTTTCTCTTTTCTCTGAGGCAGAGTGGATGAGACACAGCTCATGTCTGCACAGCGCCGTCCCTTCACTGCGGCAGCTGCAGCCACTGGCCAAAACTGGGCCTGCAACAGCTTAATGAGCAAAAGTGACTATTAGCCACAGGCTGGTGCTGGAGTCCCCTTCCCAGCCCTCTCCACCTGCTGCTGTAGCCAGGGAAGGCACCCTGAGGCAGCCAGAAGCCCTGTGCAGTGCTGTGTATTTGTCCAAAAAAAAAAAAAAAAAAAAGTTTGATATAAATTGGAATCCCTTCCCAATATTTTTGCATACCTTTATGTTGGTTTTAAATCTTGCCAATTTTTGAAAGTTCAAAAAAAAAAAAAAAACAACAACAGCACAAATTTTGACTGAAGTGTGACCTCTTCATAACCTGTGCTTCTGCAGGACACGGCAGATGAGCTCCTATCCTGAGTGCTTCCTGACTGTCACATACGAAGGACCCCACAAGGATATCAGGTGTGCACTGATACCTCTGGAGCTGTGATCCTTTATTTCCCTTTGTTAACCCACGTGTTCAAAGATGACCGCTCTCGGAAAGCTCTGGAAACAAGGTAGAAAGCACTTACAGCAGTGAGGCAGGCAGGGTTAGACTCCCCAGGGGGCAGTTAATAAGACAGTTTGGTTCTGGACAGAACAGACAGAAAAGAAAAAGAAAGCAAGTAGTTGGAAAGAACTGTTTTAATTGATTATTTTTTTAAAGTGAAGATTTCATGTCAGCAAGGAAGAAGTCTCCAGATGTTACTACTCGTTCAGATCATGTTACCGCTGTTATCACAGGGAAACTAATAATCAAAAATAAAAGATAAGCCACTAGCAGAAAAAGATTTAGAAAGAAAGGAAGCAAACAAACCAATCTTTTACAATCCCAGCACAGTCTCAGAAGAGGAATAGCAATAAACAAAGCAAATATTTCTACTCAGCAGAAAGTTATCCTTTGCCAACCTTGATTAGGGCTAGGGAGAAACCACATTACTATGAAAGGGGAATAAAGCTGTAATGTTTTCCCTTTGTTTAATTTAAAGAGAGAATTTCTGCTTATGAAATCTTTAAAAACTGAAAAAGTGACTGATATTTTGTGTTGCTCATGCTTGTGTTGCTCAGGTTTCATGACAGCCCTTTGTCTCACCGTTCTTCCTTTTTTCCCTTTAACAGTGATGCTGGATGGAAGACTCAAACTAAAGCAAAAGACCTTTATTTCTGACAACACCTTCCCTAATTTTTCACATTCCTCCTTCCATGCTGAACAGTTCAGTGGCAAACATGCAGCAATTGCTCTGCCTCGGCAAGCAGAGAATGCAGCCCCTGCCCTCTCCTCTGTGGGTCTGTGTGGACGGTCCTTTCACCTTGCTGTCTCCAGAAATGAGTCTGACCCTCAGTCCAGGACTGTTGTGTAACCTCCATGATCTACATCCCAGCTAGCCACAGAAGCAAAATGTTCATCCAGCTCTTACGTTGTTACTTAGGCAATGCTAATCTGCATTTTTAATAACATAAATCCTATGATATGCAAGTAAGACATTGGTTTAGTGAATTAGCAGGATAAGACACTAGTAGGCCACACGAGGTGGAATAAATTTACTTGTAGGCAGCTCTGGGCAAGTTAGAAAATACAAAGTTATTGCTACTCTGTATGCATATACACTCACATGCTTACATACTTATGTACGTCAATACATGAACCAGATTTCATATTTGCAGTAGGAGTATAAAAGGATATTATGTAACTAAGCAACTCAGAAGCTCAAACTAAAGAAAAGTCATCGAGAGGTGTTACATGCAAGTTTAAAAGTAATTTAATATACTGTGCCACGACTGCAGAAACCAGAAGGCCAGAAGGTGGTAAGAAGGTCACTTGACTTGGCCAGAAACCAACAGGTGAGGGGGAAGCAAAGCAGGGATCTACAGGAAGGTGGCAGCGTCTTGTCAGCACTTCCTCAAGAACAAGCCTGCCTCCTTCAAGATCATCATTCGCTGAACTGCTGCATCTGGCTGTGTACAAAATGTGCTAAGTGGAACTTGTACAAAGTGTAATTTATGTGGTAGGTGTAATCCACAAATAACCCAAGGCATCTGTAGAGTATAAACTTATTTGTGGTTTTGTTTTCAGCAGTGAACCCATGCTCCATTGACTACATCTTGCATAGCACCACCTCACCCAGGGAAAGCTAAGCTCATGCTGTGAATGCCCACCACCTTCCTTTTCAACGCACAGTCCTGAGAAATGACAGGATCACCCAAAGAACGTGACCTGTGCATCTAGACAGCAGTCATAATAGCCAAGTAGGAGATGCAAGGAAAAACAAGTCTTAGCTCTGAGTCTCAGAACTCAAAAAAATAGGCAAAAATACAGAGAATTCACAAAAAGGAGCAATTTTCTGCCAGTTTGACAGTCAATGAGTTTTTGCTAAATACCATTGACCCAAATCCCTCCGTGCATCATACGCAGGTACTGACGCTAGTTGCATTTTGCCAGCAGCAATTTATAATGATGCAGGATGACATCCGTTGATACATTTGAAATCTACCGAGACATTTAAAAGATACAGAAGGAAATCGAGAGTTTCCAGGGATGCCTTGAAGGCAAAGCTGAGTTGAACCTGCAAGAGTTCAACACACTTTCTAAAGAAGACCAGTAGTGTATTCTCAGTATTTCAAACTAAGGAAAAAAAGCAGAGATAGCTAGAAAAAGACAAATAAATGAGGTTGCTTTCCACTTTTGTTCACTCTGAGGTATGTGCACAAAGACCACTTTCACTCACTAATATTTATAGTGGTTTCTTTTTTTCCTTAATGTAAAAAGTTCCCTGGTTATATCTATTTAAACTGCATATAGGGAATATATCCTCAGCTTTGGATCCTCTGTTAAGCAATAAAGATCACACCCTCTGAGCAGTACCTACAAAAGGGAAACCGACTGCACATTGAGAACACCCACTAAATGCAAGGCAAACTGCAGACCAAAGGTTCCTGCGCTCAGGTCCCCACAAATCCTTCAAGCCAAATGTTGAGTTAGAACACCTTCCCTTTCATGCCTATCTGAGACAGGAGGGCTAGGGGTCTGCCCAGTGAAGGCAAGGTGGGATGTCTGGGGTGTGCAGGGAGCTGCTGCCTGCCAAGAAAGAGCTGCTGCCCTGCAACCAGGGCTCACCAAAATCATCAGGATGTCAAAAGGGCAGCACAGGTCAGAGAGGATGACAAGTATCTGTCCCTGCCCTGGGCAGTATCACCAACCAGCAGGTCACACACCATTTCAAGGCTGCACCAGAAAGGCAACATGTGCTGGTAGGAGCTGGGCATAATTCAGGCAGGCCTCCTCAGAGTTACACTCTCAAGGGCATATGGGTTCACCAGAAACAGGACGTTTAGACACTGGTAACTGAAAGCTTTCATCCATCGTGAGTGACACACTCTTTTTTTGTTGGTTGCTCTAGGGCATAACTGTACCCCAAACTGACCCCTAACATCCAGGCACACTTGCTGAGACAGATGATGACTGTCACACTATTGATGACAAAATATCAATAAGGAGCTCTTAAACACTAAGTAGATATGTGCTTAGACTAGTTGATTATATATATATATATAAATTTTTCTTTTTCTTATTTTTGTAAGGCAGCAACAGTTCGTACCAAACTTCATGCCATTTAATCACATTCACATACCTGAGCCATACTTAATCAAATACATTCAGAAAAACGTATGCTGAAGGCCCTGAAGCTTTGGTTCAGGATATTGTAGAGACTATTTTTCACACCAACTTGTTAACACCTGTTCTTGTGTAGTAGAAAGAAGCTACCTTTCCATCCAGCATAAAAGAGAAATTTACTCAAGCCTAGAGTCCCTAGAGCATCTGTAGCATGTGGTGTGTTTTGTGACAGAACACCCTTATCCCAGTCATTCAGAGAAGAACCATTTTTATCCTGGAAGGATAAAACTCTTCTGATGCTTTCAAGCCAAATAAGCTGCCAGGGTAGAAACTCAATTCTTTAGTGAGTTCTTCAGCGACTAATCCAATAGTTTCATGACTGGAACTCGCTGGTGGTACCATGACAGAACTAGGATATTTATTGTAAATACTCACTCGGACTGCAAGAGATCTCATAATGCATTTGTTCAAAGAAGAGTGCACTTAGCTATGGGAGGAAAAACAAGCAAACTCATTACCTCTATGGACCCTGGATCTACTTTGACAATTTCTCCTGTGCTGTTGTCATTGCTAAGATTTGGTGGGCTGTGTGAAGATAGCCTTCTGTCTTCCTTTAAGGCATGCTCCAAAAGTTTCTTATTCAAGATCCTGGCAGCGTTTTCTGCAAGCGTGTACCCTGGAGGAGCAGATAAGTCCTGCCTGATACTTGTCACCTCAGTCCCTTCCTCCTTTTGCATCTCTGTCCCCAAACGGAGAGGACTGGGTGATCTGCCACGGGCATTTGTACATGGCTCCTGCAATGGGCCCAGTTCTGGTCTGGGTTCTGCGGACCTGGACCGGCTGCTGGATCTGGGGCATTTTTGGAAGGTCTCATGAAAGATGGGGCTGTGGTCAATAATGTTGAACAAACTGGAGAGCCCATCATTGATTGTGGTGTGGACAGGACTCTCCCGTGTAGTAGTTGATCTTGCCCAGGCGGACTCACTGAATCCTTTCTGAGGTGTGCCAGGCATAGTCCGGTTATTTGGCTGGTCTGATTTGGGAAGGATTTTCCTTTGCAGCTTTGGAGAGCCATATTTGGGGGAACAGCATGTGCGTTCAAACTTAGCCTGGACCTTTTCAATGACGGGGGTCACTTGCCTGCTTCTTAGGCTTCTGGATGGTGAGGAAACAGGCGTGGACCCCCCCTTTGGTGTCAGACACTTGTGTGGGCTGCTGGTGATACTGCGCAGGGTTTCTGTTTGCAAGCCAACGCTGATGGTCTGGGTAGTCTGTGTCCCTGTCGTCCTCATGCCATTGGTTTGACACGCAGTGTCCTTAAACTGAGGCTCCGTGGAGTTGGAGCGTATTGCATTTCGGACAGAGAAAGCGACCTCCTTCATGTCATCGCTCATGTTTTTGGACATCTCCAGGCTGTGCAAGGGTGAGGCAAAGCCCACAGTAGTGCAAATAGGACGTTCAATGGGATGAAGGCCATTCTCCAGAAAATCCTTATGATGTTTGGCCAGGTCACAAGACCATCTTCCAAACATATCCGAGGAAGCACCTTTAGTCTCGGCAACGTTCCCCATAGCTTTGGTCACAGAAAACAGGAAGTCTGGCTCAACCTGGTTTTTCCCTTCGCTGCCAGCTATCACCGAGTTATCAAACCTACGGACAACTGGTGGGCTGTGAAACACCCGAACTCCCATTTTTTCAGTTACTCCATGACTCCTCATTGTCTGCTTTTGGCAGTGCTCTGGGCTAGTCAAGGTGTTAGTTGTCATAGTGACACTGGTGGTGAGGTACCATGATGATGCCTGGAATGGATCTGAAGCAGGATCATTCCCGACTTTCCCAACTTCTGTCCTTTCTGCCCAGCCCTCAGTAGGCTTCTCAGTGGCCCCACCATGGCTCCTAGTGCTATGGTAATCCCAGTTTTTGTTGAACTCCTCGATGTATTTCAGATCATCGGGAGACAGAGGAGGGGTTATATCATCTTTGCTGCTGGATGAAGGCAGGTTTTTTTCTGGTAGAAATGGAGAAATATCCATCAGGCGTTGAAATTCTGACATGGAAGAAACGGACATTGCCCTGGAGAGGGGAACACAAGAGAGTCACTCATAGGCTTGAAAATTGTCACAGAGTGACTTATTTTTACCAGCAAATTAACTCTGGAAACCCAACTTTCACTATCTGCTTACATATAAACCCACTTCAATCATAGAATCATAGACTATTCTGACTTGGAAGGGACCCACAAGGAACATCAAAGTCCAACTCCTGTCCTTGCACAGGATAACCCCAGGAATCACACCATGTGAATAAGAGCATTGACCAAATGCTTCTTGAATTCTGGTAGGCTTGCTACCATGACCACTTCCCAGGGGAGCCAGTTCCAGTGCCCAATCACCCCCCGGGTGAAAAAGTTTTTCCTAATTTTCCTTCCTTTTCCCTTTCTTTTATTAAAGTCCCCTTTTAGTATCTTTAAAATGCATGCAAACATTCCTGATGTGTCAGTAAAGGTACCAAATGGTTTATTAATGGTTCTTAATTCACAGCTTTCTCATGGATTACTGCTTGGCAAATGTCTGAAATATGGAACAGTAGGATGCATTTCAGAATTATACCATTCACAGAAAATGAGTGTTTGTGACAATACGGGGCAGACTTTGCAAACAAGTGTGGAGTATTTCTGACTTGTTGGGAAATTAGCAAATCCACTCCCACTCCTGAGACTGCCCAGGCTGCACAGCTGGTGTCTAGTGATGTGGGACCTCCAGCTGAGACGCTGTTGCATTGAACTGGCTTGGTGAGTTGAGCCTGTGCTGAAATTCAGCCCAAGGGAATCTCCGAGTGATAATGCTGAATTCTTGGCTTTCCCGCATTTCACTCATTTGTACAAATCACGGGTGTTCAGCTGAGTTGCCCTACTGCTTTGTTTAAAAAAAAAACAAAACACACAAAAAACCCCTTTCTGAATGGGACTACATAAAACTGCAAATAAGTGTAGTTATCAGAATCAGCTCAATGAGGTAACTCGAGCTGTGTGAGAATTCATCGAGTAGTAGTTTTCATGTATCAGTGATCTGGAGGACAGAGTAAACTCACAATGTGAGTTTTTAATCAAGATCTCTAGCTGCACTTGGGGTGTGTTTCTGTTAGGCAGTCAGGTGAGTACAGTTTTTAAGTGGATCTCCTAGTCAGATCCTCTGGTTTGCATAGGTGGCAATCTCAGGGAGCATGGGCGGGGCTTCAGTGCCTACAGTTCTGCACTACTTGCTAAGGTAGGCGTAGCCTTCCCTGTAAGCTGCAGCTTCGTGCACTTTCGTACAGTTTGATCTTTGTGCACCACAGCTGAATATGGCCCACGTTAATCAGAGTAGAACAAAAGTATACTGAGATAAATTAATCCCTGGGTGAGTCTATTAATCTGGCTAGCAGGCCGCTTAGGAGGTGGCACAGCTATGCCTCAGGTCTGTGGTTTGGGTGTAGAGAGCTATAGCTCTGGCACTTGAGTATTTGCTGGGTTTTTCCCTGTAAGTTTTACTCACCTTTGAAGATTTCCTTTGTGTGTTTCTTCCTCCTGATTAAAAACAGAAACAAAAAGAATAAGTTATTCCTGAGCCATTAACTTATGGGTATTTTGTCATTCACTTCCCATTAGTTGCACCAGGTATGTTTGTGTCTAAAAAGTGAAAATACTGGCAGTGAAAATATTCTTCGCTTTATACATTGGCAGTAGAATGGGCAATCCCATCGGGATAACACACTTCACAGGTAAAGCCCATATGCCAAAGCTACAACAGCCTTGAACTTTGACATGCCCATGCAATCATAAATGGAGCTAGGCTGCAAATGGCTTTTTTCCACAGTGTAGTGTTTTGGATCATGTATTTGTGAATGAAATTGTTCTGTGGAGGTAATCTATATTATACCAGAGATGTAGCTGTGCTGCAGTAAGGGAGAAACCGAGGTGTTTTGACATAATATTTTACTCTACGTTTCTCTAGGAACCAACAAGCGGCACCAGTCGAAACTCATTAAACTCGTCATATTAAATGTGTGGAAAGACTGTTGCTTCTTTCATAGGGGGAATACCTACAGCTTGCTAATGGCATGAAGATGTTTTTATGGCAGTTATTTCCCTGTGACAATTTCAGTAATGAGTTGGAGTTTTAAATAGATACTTCTGAAGCAATTGCTTTGCAGTGATTTTAACTGTTTGCTTGTGTTTCTAATAAACTATAGGGATTACAAAATAAGATCAGGATAAAAAGAGTATTAATACCTCTTACTTTTATTTGACCTCATGAAAGCAAGAACATTACCAGCACAGTAGTGCATATCAAATTAGGACTATTCAAAACCAGCACTGCTTAACTCAGCAAATACCTTCTGGTATTTATCCAGAGTCAGGGAAAAAAAAAGTAGTAAACTGATCCTCCTTGCATTCACTGTGGTATAAGTTTGGAATAACGTTGGTGACTTCAGTGGAGTTACTGCACAGTTATCTGATCTAAGTGAATGCATAATCAGGGTGAAGGCTGGATTGAATTCTACTGCAGTTAGTACCAAAGAGAAAATATAATGGAAAGGTAGAGTCAGCAGGCTGCAGTTGTCTCTGTGCATCTCTCAGTTAAGCTATTCATTAAATTCCAGTCAGTCTCACTTGAGCAAACCCTCTGAGGGAAAATTACTTTGCCCAGGTTCCCCTAAAACATGTTTTGAAGGAAAGAAGCTATGCAAATATCACCAAAGACCAAATTTTGCTGCCCACATTTTTGTTAATGGCAGTAATGTCTGAAAAACACAAAATGGAAGAGAGAGCTCCCTTGTCTAAATATCAGACTGAATCTGAAGGAGAGGAAACAGAAATCAAAATTAAACACAAAACTTAGTTCCCTGACACTGGTACTGATATTCTTCACTGAGCACTTGGACATGTATGAAATAAAAGCAAAGAAATAATAAATACGGGATGCCACACTGCCAGCCATTTTGCAATCCTTTAGCTTTGTACCAGCATATGGAGACAGAAAATCCTGGGTTTCATTCAGCAACAATGTAAACAGAACTCTGAAGACCTGGAAATAAGGTGAAAATAAGCCTTCTGCAGTGCAGATTTTTGCAGGACACAGACTGCATTCACTATGTCCCAATGGCATCTTTCAGTGCTGTGTTATACATGTTTATAGCTTTCTGGTATGATTTCAGGGTAGGTACTCTTCTGATGAATAACTATTTTTTTTAACATCTCATCTCACTTACTCATGCTAATCTGGAAGGCAATCACAGTAGAACAACCAGAAGTACCTCTCTACAGCACTTACTGCTTTACTAACAAAATAAAAGCCTGTGTTTCTTCATAAATGCGTATCTTCTTACAACTGGAAATGATTTAAGACCTTCTAAACCAATATGTTGTGTCAAATATAGTTATCACACATACTATGACGACGAAGTAATCTTGGGACCTTTAGGCTGGCTCCCACTTTCTCAGGTGATTGACATTGGTGTAATCGGCTCATAACAAGGAATGAAAACTTGTCCCTACTAAATCCACTACTGGGTAACCGTAAGCAGTGCCTGTGACACAACATCTCATTTCCTACAGCAGGGAGACTGTACCAATTTTGACACAAGAGATAACACGCCAGCATGATAAAATGTAGAAGAGCGCATACTTCCGTTAATCCAGTCAAGAATTTCTCCCGCTCCAGCTGCCGAGGCCGATGCTCATCAGATTCATCGGGGGAATCAAGAGACAGAGATTCCAGAAAGAGGTTTTCCGTGCCACTGCACCGATCACTCTCCTTCAGCTTAGACAGCGACCGATCGTCAAACTGGATGGTGTCTGAGTCGGAGTAGGATCTGGATCCCATCGGACGAGGCACATGAAGGTTCCCCTGGATCATAAACGGACGACGGCTACTGTCGTTCTGCTCGCACAGCAAACCACCTCCTCTTCGTGGACTCGCTTCTTTCTGAAGCTGGAGACAAGGCAAATTAAAAGGAGCAGCAATTACTTCTGTAGTGTATGGCGTGTGGCAGAACTCATCCTTCCCCAGGAGCAAGGCAACCATGCCCTGGGGAGGCATCTGGAGATCGCTGCCTGGCTCCAGGAGTGCACCTCTGAGGGGCACAGGCATTGCTCTACTGGTCCTTCCACCAAGGGAGATGTCTCTAGAACTTTGATGCTATTACTGATGGGACTTTGAGTGACTAGATGTGTGTATGTATAGTTTTGGTTGTTTACATGTACGTGTATACATATATACACACTGTTTGTATATATACACGAAATAATGCATCTGTCTGTAATTTGATTTTTAAGGAAACGAATCAACACAGACTGTTATTTAAAAGCAATCCTGAAAGCAATACAAGCAGAGGCTCAAAGAAGGGTGAGTGACTTGGAGTCTCATCAAAACAAACACTTTTTTTTTTTCTGGTCAGCAGTACAAAGGTTGATCTTTTATGTACATCATTTGTTTCCACAGGTGAATATTATGCTTAATAAAAAACAATAGTTTTGTTTTATAAATGGTCTAGCCTTAATGCATGGCTAGAAAGTTGACTATTTGTACAGAACAGCATTGTCAAAGGGATTAATTGTGCATGCAGAACATGTTCAAAGAAAATGCATATTTATAGGAAGACCATCAAGGCTAATAACTCTACATTTTGCAAAAGCTGGGTGAAGAGAGGATGAACCATCAGTGAAACTGCCAATATTAAAATTAGATTATCAACTTCTGATTTTTCTAAATTAGATGATCAACTTCACTTTTAATTGTAAATACAAAGGATGGCTGAAGTAAGTGATATTTTCAATCATGATGAATGACAGCAGGAATCTGATAAGAACTCTGATGTTTTGCTAGAGCAGCATGCTAAGATTAGTGACAATAACCTGAAAATGCAAGTCATTCCCTAGGAGCCTGGAGATTGAGAACCTACAAAACATATTAATCTTGTTATACATTTGGAAAAATAAACAGACATCGTACTGCCTAATTTAGATCTATTTTAGGTCCCAAACGATTACATTTGCACTTGAGCTGAGAACAGTGAGGTTCTTTCTTAATTCAGGTCTACAAAGACCAGGAATGCATCTTCAGTGTTTTGCTCATGATATATAAAATCTGAAACAGTTTTATCAAAAGGAACTAATTTAGGATGTCCTATAGAGGCACAGTCAGCAAGGTATATCTCAAGAGATCCTGGAATCCATTCTCCAGTATACGGGCAAGATCTAAAGCAAGGAGAAATGGTAATTACATGCTTCTGTATAGATAGCTCCAATTGCAAGCCCTTCAGATTTTTGGAGATCCTGTAAAAATAATGATCTGGAAACCTTTATGAGAAAACAGTACAGATGCTGTCTCACTCTCTGAATATCAGACAGCTGACAGAAGAATTAAAGTGAGAAATACTGCCCTAACTTTTCAAGAGAGACTAATGACTTTGAGTCCTCATGTGTTTATACTTTAAACACACTTTTCATGAAGGTAATCTTGTGGGTTTAAGTATTTGTCGATGTGCTCTGTGCACAATTAGCTTTAGGAGCATGGGGGAGAGATATTCTCTAAGGGAAAACAAAGTGACAGAGGACTTAAAAGGAAAAAACAACAACTCTGAGCTCTGAAAAAAGTAGGTCATCATGTTTTTTATATGTGAGCAGTATTCCCACAACCATTCAGAGTAAAGTATTTTATATATTTTATACATTGGTGTGAGCTTCCCCCTTATCATGCATGTATTATTCAGGAGCTGTGTGAAAGCAGACAGGCATAGAGCATTAGTACGAAATTTGGCAAGCATGCTTCTACTATCTCTTAGACTCTGTTTTTCAAACATACACAGTGGTGTAGTCTCCTCATCCTCTACATATTGCCATACATGGAATACACAGAGAAAAACCCTGGGGAGAAGGACTTCAAAGATATACTAATTGTTTCCATATAAAGCAGGGCATGACTGCAATCTGAGAGGATATTCAGCTAAAAGCCTGCAAATATTTGGAAGCTTCCTGTCACACAGGGAAATGTTTGATTATAAGCAAAGATGAAGTTATGAAGTTTTGTAGGCAGGTAGCCAAGATTTCAAATGTTATTTCTGATCATCTAGTCCTCTGAAATTAGCTTGATATAATATTTTTTATTTCCCTTATTCATTGCTAATTCTGTGTACCACTCTGTTGCACAGTAAATATGTAGTTAAGGCCTAGAGGTTTCAGAATAGTAACAAAGAAATCAGTTCCAGGACTAGGTAAGAGCTATTCTGTAGGCTATCCCAAGATGACACTGAGAGGTTATGTCAGGTTTTAAGAGAATTAAAGGCTAGGTAACATTAACAGGGATTTCTCTGTGGCTTCCTTCAACGTGCCCCATTCCCAGGGAATAGAAATAGTAGTCTTTAACCAGGTTAAGTCCCTCAAGCTATTGAGGATGCACCAAAGAGATAATATTGAAAAAATACAATTTATAAGGACGGGAACATAAACCAAAGAGGTACCAGTGACTCTCCAAAGAAAAGTTTCTGTCTACATCCTTAGTATATTGGAAAATTATCTGAGGTTTACTTAATTCCCATTGTGCAAGAAGAATCTACAGCCATAGCTCAAAACCAAGGTTCAGTCTTGCACACATAATATTTGCAGCCTGGTGTCTTTTCTTTAACTTCTTTTTGCAGCCCCAATATGGGAACACAAGACACACAGACAATGAACTCTTTTCAAAAACTGATTATGAAGTTACACAGGGCTTTCATCAATTTAACCTGTGAAGCTACTCTGTGCTTCCCTCAAGTGTAATGCTCCCTAGAGAGCATGCAGGAATCTAGTGTGGTTCCATTTCCGATGTCCTAAGGACAGGAAGCATTCAGTTAATTGAGGACCCACAATTTCAGTTGTTTTTATTAGTTTTCCTGGAATATGTGACTCAGAGATGAACAATGTTCAGGCAAAAACTGTGTGTTAACTCTGCCTCATTAAACTCTTTATTTTTTGTGTGGCTTTAGATAGATAATAAATTCATTAAGTATAATTTGTCTCCACTGCTAAGTAGATGAAAGTATGGATAGGCATGAAAAACAAGGGGATATGTATGCACTTCTCAGATTTGCAAATGATAGCAGAGTGTGCACAAAATTTATGTGACCAAGACTCTTCTGAATATTTAATATTGATAACTGTGTTATCAGAAAGGGCTCTTCATGTTAACTCCTGTGTTCCTTTGCTAGAGGAAAAGAATTCTGTTGAGACTGAATGGTTGCAGCAGCTGCATCTTTGGTGGCTAATTCACAGATGAACAGGCTCTTTTGGTAGGGAGCTGTATACCAAATCTTGAATAACTCTGCCTATGGGGTTGAGTGTTTTAGCAGCACAAAGAGATGCACAAAAGCTTTCAAACAGAATGTGATCATGACTGTTCAGGGTAATTGAAATGAGGCAGGAAATGGCCTTTAACCTGGAGTTGATTTCTCATAAGTGGTCTTTTATAGGGATTATGAGCATTTTCCTTTTACTCCCTTGTGTATGTAAATAGTTTTGTAGCATGAGAAACACTGATGTAGCCAAGGAACTCTTAACTGTTCATCTGCTGCTTCCTAATGCAGCCTCTCGACCTTGGCTTGAGTGCAATAATGGTGCAATGCCTCGTGCTTTCAGAGAACCACTGCTCACCAAAGATGACTCCTTACCTGCTCTATCCGCCTGAGCAGCTCCTTCTTTTGACGCTCCCATTCTCGCCGGTCTCTATCAAGCCTGTCCAAGAGCTCCACCTTTTCCCGGTTCCAGTTCTTCTCACTGTGCTGGATTTGCCAGCGAAGGTCCATCACCACACTGTGGCTGTCAGCCAAAAGCTTCTTGTGCTCCTCTCTTTCCCTTTTAAAAGCTCCTTTTGCATCAGAAGCGAGGCCTGTTTCTCCAGAGGTGTTCTCACTCTTCCCTTCCAGCTGGCATTAAAAAATCAAATGTTAGCAGGATGTTAAATTTTCTGTGGTAAAAGCCTGTGTCTGATATTGGATCTCAGTTAAAGACCTAGCTCCACAAAGGGAATGGCAGAATTATGTCAATTCTTGGATCTTATGATCTCGGTAAATGATCAAATATGTTCAATGTGAAAGAAGTTTTAAAATCGAGACAGTGAAAACTACAGGGAATAATATCCCAAGCTCTACCAGTTCACGTTATTAAGGCATCATTTGTGATCTTTCTGATGGGAATATGGGTACCACTGAAGAGACTTTTCCTGGAACAACCCTCACCAATGGTCTTATTGTACAGCTCCTCCCACCTTCCAGCAAAAGAGGGTGTTAGCAGCAGAAGGAGACGTATGAAGATCATCCCTCCATCTCTTCAGGTTATAGTGCCTGAACTGATTTCAAGGGCCACCTGATGCCACCTTTCCCTACCTTCAATTTCATGCTCAAGGGTCAGCTCAATCAGAACAGAAGAGCTGGCCCAAGGTAATAGACCCATAGGAAAACATAGGCTCGATGGGGTCTCAGAAGGTCTCTAGTCCAACCCTCTGCTTCCAGCAGGGTAAGTTCTGAGGTCAGACCAGGTTGTGCAGGACTTCGTTCAGTTGGATCCTGAAAAAACCTCCAAGGATAGAGATTGCACAACCTCTCAGGTCAACCCGGGCCAGTGCTGAACTGTTGTCAGGAGGGAAAAAGTGCTCAATGGTTTTGTGTAAGTTCAAGCAAGTGAAGAATTTATCTCAGGAGCCAGACCTCTTGTTGACAACTCAGTAGATGTGTGAGTGACTCAGAATGGGATGCATCTCCATCCCCTGGCTCTGCAGGTGAACTGGAGTAAAAAGAAGTGAAAATTCATTTCCACCTCTGTAGTTAAAGTTGTCCTCAAAAAGGTGAGGTAGCAGGTTTGCTGGGAAACATATTCCTTTAGCAAGAGAGAAGACAACACCTTCACCTTTCCCTATGTGAAAAATAAGCTCAAACTTTCTAAGCAAAGGGAAGTTCAGTTTGGATTCAGAAGTGATGCTTACTAGTTTCTGGAACACCCTCCCCAGATAAATGACCAAGAGGTCATTGCTTGAGTCATGTAAAATTGTACTGAGCTGTAGAGAACATCCTGTTATAGCCACTTGCAGGGACAGGGAAATCTTAAAACACCTGCACCCTCTAGCACTAATTTCCAAAGCCCAGTTGTTCAACCAACCAACCAAAAAAAAAGAAAAAAAAAAAAAGTCAGTTCTAAAGGAGCAGCATCCCATTTTTCCTATTTTAACAAGGTTGACATGACACTATCTTTCTCACATTTTCCTATTTCTGCAGTGCAAATTTGTGGCACCCACAGCGATGTGTGAGAGGCTGTCCTGCACACAACTGCTTGGTTTGATAACAGACTGGAGGTGCTGGGGGGCAAAACCACAGACTATTCCAGGAAAGGCAGCTGTGTGCAGAAGATCCATGACGGGAGACACCATCCTGGGAATTGGTGATCACTCACTGCTATCTTCAGGTAATGGTCTCTTGCCCCTTGCTACGCCTTTCCTCTGCCTATTCACAAGTTCTCAACTCCATTTCATGGTACTGCAAGAGCCAAAGTTGGTGCTGGAGCCAGGGTCAGCAATGTTCCCATCAATTCTTCTGAGTGCTTGTTTTAATTTTACTGCTCTGTATGCCCCACCCCTTGTTGCTCCTGAAAGTTCCTTCTGGATTTACTAAGTAACTGTGACAATAAATAATCATGAATTTCAGGAGTGTCACTGCAGCTGAGATCAGCCAAAATAATAAGGGACTAATGAAGTGAACTCTATGCAGTTTCCTTACACCCAAGCCTGACAGAGAGCTGTTTAGGACCTGTCCTTCGTGATACATGTAAATCATCTTTCAGGGACCCTTTCAGACTTCTCAGCTTGCAATAGGAGCTCTCAAGGGAGGTTGCTGGAGTGTCTGGGGTAAATCCAACTAGCCTGGAGTGCAGACTTAACCTTGCCACTCTGCTACCCCCTGGAGAATGCTGCCACGTGCAGTAGTAGCTCTGGCTAGCGTGCTAAGTAGTGGAGACACATCAATGCCTGTGATAAATTCTTTAGCTGGTAGGAAACATGAAAACATCAAAGGCAACCTATGAGGCAAACAAATGCAATAAATGCAGTTTGTATGATTGTTCTATAAAGCAAATTCCCTTCTTTTTTTTTTTGAATCTCAAAAAAATAGCAAAATGTTTGACCTCAACAAGACTCATTCTCTCTCTCCCCTTACGTCACTGAGTTCTTCACTACCCCAGGCAAATTCTTAGCCTTTCAGTCAGCAAACAAAACTGGTGGTGGTGCTGCAAAAGGCAGGAAAACTGAGAGAGGCAGTGGGAAGTAAGAACAGAATAGTGATATCCCAAGAATGTATGGCTGCCCTTAGAGTTCCATGCCCAAGCTGCCAAAATACAGAAGTCATCCTGTGCTGAACCACAGCCTCACCCACACAAGAACCCTGTATTGTGCCCCATTTAGGAAGTCTGTAAGTATAAAGATGATTTCAAAACCAAGGCAAGTATACAGTGATACACCTTCAGATTAATTTCCTGGTGTTCAGTGATTTGGGATCTAAAACCCTCTCCGGTCAGAGGTGGTGTCTTTATACTCAGGAGGCAATTCCTGGTGTCTATGGAAAGCAGAACCATGCTTCTGGCAAGGAGAGAGTACTTCTGCCTGTTTTGACAAAACAGCTGAAACCGTGGAGGAAAGGTCATTTGGTGGTTCCTTAGCATGGAAGTTTAGATGTGACTTTCCTAAACCTGCTATGGGTGGCCAGATGCCTCTCCATGTGTACCTCAGCTTATATTCCCCTCAGCCACCCTGAAGCTGGACAAGTCTTCCAAACTTTTCTCAGTTTCCAGTTCCCATAATATGGGGATTTTTCACTTGCTCAGCTGGAGGCTGAGGATTACTGTGACTCTTTATTGCCTCAGCATTACCACAATTCCATTCTTTGGGAAAAATCTAATTATTTCTTATCTTAAAAACAATGCCTATGGATCCTTCTGCCAAATAAGATGTACATGCATTTCTGACAGACAAGATTTTATTTTTAATGATCTTTGCAGTGCTAAAGCACCAAAGCAGCAGGCAGCAGTACGCTGTCACTTCTGATATGCAGTGCTTTTATATCAAAAGCGTTTTCTTTCCTTTTTTATTTTCTTTCCTATACAGAGAGAGTTGAGGCATCAAAGAGCAAAACCATTGCTAGTGACTATTAACTATGAGTTGACTCTCTTGAAGAAAAGGCTCTTGTTAATTGACCTACTGCTTCATATAAGAGGTGGAAAACAGCCACAGTGAAGACAACAGTGGAGACTAGCCAGGCCTTGATCCTCTGTGGGCTTGTCAAGATGTTGGCAGCCCTATATGAAACCTGTGGCGGGAGGTGGGTTCATCACCACCAATCAACACAGCAAAATGGCATTATGAGAAGTCCTCCTACACACACAAACCTGACAGACTTGACTATTATTTGGTTAAAGCTGTGCTATCTTTTTGCTACTGCATTAGAGACTTGCTTTTACTGTGAAATAGAAATTGTGAGGAATTGGCTAAGGAAGACCATTTCATGTCTGAAATACTGACGAGTTTCATTCTTTTCATTTGCTTGGAATAATGTAAAAAGTGACACCCATAGCTCAGTAATTACCATATGTTATATATTATTACTAGTGGAGCAGTAGAGGTAGTAAAGAGCCTGGTAAAACCCCCAGAAGGAAGGGTTCAAATCTTTCTTCTCCCTGAGCTGTCCTGGTGCCAAACACCATCCAAAGCAGCAGCCTGGAGGTTTATCACCCATGCAAAGGCAAAGCACACAAGCTCTGAATTAGCAGTTCATGGTCAGACTTTCCCTAAGATTTTTTCTTTGTTGCCGTCTCGAGCTTAAGGTAAATCTATCACCGAGATATTTTGGGAGGAGCGAAAATGGGAACTGATTTTGTTTCCTTTCTCAAGTGATGTGTTGTTTGGAAATCTGAGTGCACTAAGAAGCAGCAGAACTGAGCATCTGAATCTGCTGAGAGGAGAGACTGCTAAAAATGAAAGCTTCTTCCTTCATTCCGGGAAAGCAGCCCTCAGTACCTGGGCAGGAAAAGCAGCACTCACATCTCAGCTCTGTGCGTCATAGTGAGCCTCTACATTTCAGTAAATCCTTCTAAATGTACCACCCTCCCAACAGTGAATATTTTTATTATATTTTCCTTCTGCTGAGAAGCTCTACAATTTTTCCCAAGATCTGAATGTACTAGTTCTCCCACCCCTCCCCTCATCAATGTGGAAAATAAGAGCTTTTATGCCATCAGCTTTGGAAATTAATTCTTGTGGTTTTTTTGCTGATTTGCTTTCATGCTGCTTCAGAAACAGTACATCTTCTGTGAACTGCCGTACATGACTCTGAAGCACCTGGCACCAGGTTTTATTGAAATACTTCTAACAGTATCCCAATGGCAAGTAGCTAGAGCTGTCTCTAGTTGAGGGGTACCATCCATCTCTAACCAGTAGCTTTGAATAGCTGGTTTAATATTAACATATTGATCTATCACTTCAGTATTATTAAATCCTTTTCTTTCCTATGCATTAAATATCGCAGCTGTTATGTGCCAAGGCACAAGTGACAAGATGATTGTTAGCATGCCAACATCAAGACATTTTTCTCTTCAATACATACGGGCCTCTCTGCTTGTCTCATTACCACAGCTGACACATTACCAGCCAACTCTTCTGAGAAAATACAGCAAGAGATTCAGTTCCTTTGTCCTCAGTGACATTACACAGTACCTACTACATGGGCACTTGTACTGGGACAACTGGAAATCCAAAAGGCAACTCAAGAGGCAAAGGTTTGCTCAGGCTTCTGGAGCAGGGAGCTTTCAGTCACCAGGGTAAAATGCATAAACATAGTCCCTTTCCTGTCTGTCACAGATTTCCTTCTTCATTAGGCACCTCAGCCATTTTTTACAGGTGTGGGGCAGGGGGGATGTTACCTGTTCGAGGCGGCACTTCAGTTCAGTCATTTCCACCTCCCAGGCTGCCTTGTGCATGGCATACTGCTGCTGGAGCCCCTGGCGCTCGCGCTCCTCGTCCCGCAGCTCCGAGCGGAAGTCATCCAGCAAACCCTTCAGAGCGTTCAGGAGCTTCCGATTTTCACTCGCCTGCCACAACAAAGCAAACAAAATGCTGTCATTGGGTGGCTTTAATCTCCAGTTTCATTTTCAGGAGGAAAAAGGAGTGTGTGTCCACTGCATAGAGGAGAAAGTGCCTGGGTTAACTTTTTACATGAGAAAACTAAGAATAGCAACGCCTTCTCTGTCTCCAAGCAGCTCAGGGAAGTGGTTGAGTCACCATCCCTGAAGGTATTTAAAAGATGTGTGGGTGTGACACTTTGGGACACGGTTTAGTGGGCAGTGTTGGGTTTAGGGTTGGACTCCATAATCTTAAGGGTCTTTTCCAACATAAATGGTTCTATGATTCTTTGATTCTGCGATTCTAGTTCTTGTTAGCCCTGGTCCTGATGCTCCATGAAAGTCAAAGATACTTCAGTCACCCTGAAAAAAGCACTAAGCATCTTTCTAGACTGAGGACATCAATAATAACTTCTTTTTTAATACTGTAAATGAAAGCTAAAGTGTCATTCCTGAGGGTTTTTGGGTAGCTAGATGTCTCATACATGCGGTCATTGCTCAGTATCAAATCCCAAGTATTTGTAAACTACACATAAAGAAAAGGCATTAATTTTCAGTGCTTCTGTATTATCAGATAAAATTCTTTTGGGAAATGAAATGAAGTTTTGAGCTGAGTATCTCTGCTAAGGTGTTTCATTAGTCTGCCCTTCATATTTCTGCTCCACCCCAGGGAGTTGCACCCAGGTTAGCTTTGCAGCAGCACCCTTTTTGGTACCAAAGGCACAAATGCCAGGAAGGCCACTTTTCTTCTTGTAGATGGGATCAAAGAATAAACTCCCATCCATGTCTTGTTGAGAGTTTCATGGTCATAATGAAAATGTTGTCTGTGCTCTTGTGCTAGCCAGATGCCAAGAATGGAGTTAAATTAGAAATCTAGCCCAATGGTGACATCATGTATACTTATTCAAATATCTATTTTTTTTTTTCTTAGTTTTGGCATTTGCTTTCTGTACATTCTCTGAAGACTTGCAAAACCCGCCATTTTTATGTTAAATATCAAAAAAATGTTTTCTGCATCTTCATTCTAGATGAGTAAAAGAAAAGGTTCCCCACCGCTTCTTGCAGTCATTGAATCAGAAAACAAAAATATATAACATGATTTATTTATCCAAAATTCAAATCAAATATTCCCAAAGAGCCTCTCAAAGACCAGAGGAGTAGCCAGAGATTGTATCTGAGAAGTTATTCCAAATAGAAAATACTTTCAAGAAAATTATACATGATTAGCAACACAGCATGAGCAGGAAAGCGGGAAAGTTTACTCAACAAATTCATCATTTAATCACCTGATTCTCATAAATGTGTTAACTTCCCTGGGAAGGTTTAACTCAAATTAGTTGTCTCGATTCTTGCATGATAGTCTAATTGGTTTTATTTTTTATTTGTTTTCCCAGGTAAAGGCTTCCTGCAATTCCTCTTATCTGGTGTTTCACAAAGTAACTACATGGGGAAATTCTTTGAAGACAAGTCAAGTAAACAGACGTATGCATAGATCTAAATAATTTTCTTGTGCTTTTTCCAATGACAGTACTTACAAAATTTTAGGTAGGCAACTAAGATGATTTCATATGCTCATCAGATTTTTGGCATCACTGAGCCCACCTCACCCACTTTTGTAATCACTAATCATACATACCACAGTGCCTTTTTCTTTATAAAATAAACAAATGTGGCCTACTATTTCCAATGTATTTGATGCAGCAGCAAAAATATTCTAGATGTGGAGAAACAACTGCAGGTGCTCACTGACTGACCTATAATCTGTTTGGGCTAATGAAATGTGATGGTGTACAACATAGGGTTTTGTAAGAAACGCACCCACAGAAGCAGAATTAATTCCATTAACATTTAATGCCAATTAGCAATTTCCTACTATACAGCAGCAGTATCCATCATGCATATGAGATCACCTACTATTCAATATGCAATGAGATTTTATGTTTCCATCATGAATCATGAATTTTCGTTCTAATACCTAATTAAAGCTAAATTCTCCAAACATCTCAAGCCCCTTGTGTAATAATCAGAATAAGAACTCCTTTGAAGATTTGCCCTTAGTGTCACAACAGGAGCTGCTGTGCATTGAACACATCAAAATCTGGTCTCATCCTCTTTGAAAACCCCGACCCCAAATGTTTATGAAGAATTTTCATCCAAGAGCCATGTTCTTTGTTTTCTGGTGTGCTGCATAAACCTTTCTCTGGCAAAACAGTCTAAAGGCTCCACGAGGGAAACAAGGTAGAAGAAAAATAAAAACCAAATGACACTAAGGCAAGTTACATTTCTCATTCCTTTTCACACATTTGATAATTTTAGAGTCCTACAAAATTTGCTTTAAAAAGAAAGGAGTACTGGACTAGTACATAAAGGAACCAAATGAGCCTCATTGCAGGTTTGTAGCCTACTGGGATGAGGGCATGTCTTATTTCTAGAGGCATTACATCAATGTCACTGTTATGAGACAAGTACCCCAGGTGCTCCCAGGCTTGCTGGGATTTTAAGTACCTTGCCAATACAAATCCAATTTTGGTTACATACTTTTTATTCCTGTGGAGAAGTCTCTTTTGCACAACTTTGTATTTACAGTCTGAAGTTGGAGAGGCCTGTGAGATTATTTTTTTCTGTTTTGCCAAACTGGAGTGGTTTCGGAGAAGAGATAAAGTACTTTTAAGAGAATATGCTCTGAAATACAAGATTAACATCTACACATGCTTTAGATTTCTGTTGGCAAAACTGCCAAACAGCTTCTGCATAAGAATAAGTCCTGTAAATACACAACAAATATTGTTATAGTCTTCCCCTTCCTTTCAGGCGTGGTGTACAGCAGAAGAAATTTGGCATGTCTGTGATTCCCTGGACAGTCTCCCATGAAAGGAGATGGCTCTTTAGTACCTTAACAGTTTCCAAAATTTTAAGCCTGGAGAAATCTGACTGATTCACAACTGATCTAAGTCAAGAGAATTACAAAAGCTTCACAAAAGTTTAAAGTCTTGTTGTATTCACAGCTCTGAGCTGTCAACAAGCCAAAACATCGGGTAGTAAGTTGTAATTAAATTCCAGGACTTTGCAGTATTGACTAAGCTGAGTCAATCACAGAAATGGGAGTCTCTCAGCTCTACAAAAGTTTTGGACCAGAGTAATTGCTTGCAGCTTGGTTCTGCTTTTAATCACAATTATTTTTTCTCTGAGAATTTCACTTGAGTATTTCGCTTAAGAATTTAGCCACAGCCTGGTATTACAAGCAGTTTAATAGAAAATAATTGAAAATACAAGGTCAGGAGCCCAAACAGCAAATGATAACTGTGTATCTTCTCTGTCCAATCACAGATCTGGGGAAAAGGGATGCTGGATCTTGGTGCAACTCATTTTAGTGTATTTAGGGTTTAATGATTATTCCTTTGGGCTTTTCTCTTAGCTAACCTTTGAAAACAAACATTGTATGATCACAAAGAGGGATTGGGGATTTTCTTGACAGTCCTCCCAGCAACAACACTACTGTATTGGTTTTTAATGCTTTTTCCACTGGACAACAGATGTGTAAACTTTTTTATTCTTACTCCCCTGATCTTACACCATGCAACAGGCATCTCATCCTTTCTACTCAACTGAACCAAAGCTCGTCCTTTTTCCACAGGCTGTTCTCCCTGATCTCTTACTGTACACACGGCAACACTGACTTACAGCAAGCCCTCCTCTGCTGTGCCACCAGCCCAACTTACCTGTTGATCTCCTGCCCATGACCAGACTTCCAGCTTGGCTCTTAACCTTACCAGCTCCTTGCCTGACCCCTTCTGCTGTTTGCCCCAGCTACCAGCCAAGGGACAATGTCACGAAGAGAAAGATGAATTAACCCTTCTCAGAGACCCCATCTACTCTGTCTCTCATCAGCTAATCTTTTTTCTCACCTTTCCACTCTGCCATGCCTTCATCCCTCCACACACTGGCCACGTAAAAATCCCAGACAAGTTAGATGTGTGCTTTCCATCCAGTTGAGTATCTCAAATCATAATAATATAAAATTAAAGGTTACTTATTGAAATTAAGGCCTCCAGGCTTATAATTTTTCTCATAACAATTCCATTTTCCAGTCAGGGTAAGAAAGTCAGCAGCAAGAGGGCTGGCTGAAAATATAAGTCATTAAATATTAAAATTAAATGTTAAAAATAAATGTGGGTAACCTCAAGTTACCATAAGCCCTTTCTTTTTTCTGACCTAGTTATCTCAGCCACTCCTAGACTATCTCAAAATTTAATTCCTGGTGTGAAATAAGTGCTGATGTATTTCATCTTGGAGCTTGTCAGACAGAACCAGTAACTTTGGGTTCTCCTGGGCAGGTGCAAACCTTGGAGACTTTCAGCTGCACCACTCACTACAAATTTCCAGTATAAACAGTGTTTTATTTCCAGCTGTGGCCCTAAGGAACCTGCAGAAGATCCCCAAAACTGTGGGTGTTTTTCAGCACAGCAATGCTTGTTAGAAGATGTACTTGAGTGAGCAGGCAAAACAAGAAATAGTGTTTAAAATGAGAAATATTTAGCAAACTCACTCACTCTTGCAGTGCTGAAATAACATTTTCTCCTGGTTGGAAAACAAGAAGTGTATTTTACCTTCACAAGTTCATTTGTATATCATGCACTATTCACTATCATGAGGGGTACTGAGATATGGTCTGTTCCTATGGGTCATTCCTTTAAGCAAGATTAGCTGGAACTGCAGCACTGTATGTAAAAACAAATTATAAGCAATCTATTGCCCATTTCTGCTACCTTAATTGAGATTAATGCCTAAGCAATGATTAATTCAAAGAGGACATAATTAATTTTAATATTCTTGGTCATTTTAAGAGATCTATATGGAAAGTTAGTACATGACAGAGTCTGTAAAGAGATAGCATTTTGGTTTATACTTATTTTACTAATTCTAGATTAAATCAGTCTACAGATGGAATGCAGTTAAACAATATGTTTCAAGAGCATCTCTTCCATGGCCTTCTACAGCCTTTACCAAACAAGAGCTTGCTGAGAGGAAGACATTGATCGGATCCATGTGACCAGCAAGATAGAACCTTTCCAAATGCCAAACTGATCAAATGAATACTAACTTGGTAGCACACTTCACAGAAAATAATAGCTAGAGAATGGAGTTTCCAGCTAGCATGATGAAAAAGGAAAATATATACATTTAAAAAAAAATTTTTAAAATAGAATATGAAGCAGCATAAAGATCACAGATCTATACTGTTTTTATTCAAATAAAAATTCTAACTGAAATTACATCTTAAACTACAGAGATGGGTTGCAAAACAGCCTGTGCATCTCCCAGCCTGCCTAACCTTATTATAGGATAGAGACTGCTACAACAGATAGTTGCCTGCTACAACATACAGAAAATAAACAAACTGATCATACATAATCATGAGAGCCTGGGGAATTCAAGGCGAAGAACTGAAATGCAAAGACACACACAATCCCCGGGTCCTGCAGCAACTCCAGCAAAGTACTGGGGTCATGGAGAGTGCATATTTGGCTGAGAGCTGTCACTGTGGAGCAGGCTCCCAAGTCAAGGGCCCAAATAGAGATGGGACACAAGGCATAAAGATTCAAGACTTTTTTTTCTTTGAATTTGTGTTTTACATAGAATTCTTGCTCCATTCTATTTATTATTGCAAATAATTCTGTGTAACAGGATGCTTTCATATGAACAGCTTCCATTTCAAAAATATAAGAATTATATTTGAATATTTGCTATTAGTATTGTTAGGACTGCTAGTATATTAAATGCACAAAGGAAAAAGCTGGGATATATGGCAGTGCTCTGACACACAGTCAGGGCACAGGAGATGTCAGGGAAAAGTTATTTTCTTTCAGGCTTTTAAAACCAAGCCCAATGACAGGAAGGAACTTTTACATTGTTTTCCCATCATCTCTAAGGGAAACATTAAATGCATGTGATAGTTTCTTAAATTATTTAAAGGAAATAAAATCATATCTTCTTGCTAAAAGCTTGACAGTAGAATACAATAGATGTGTTCAGACAAGAGGAGCATGTAAATTCTGCAAACCATCACATACTGATAGATGTTTCTGGGCAAACAGCCATAAGAGGAAATAAGATTTTTCACTGATAGCATCTGCCAACAGAACAGTAACCACGTGGCTTCTGATTAAATTTAAATATCAATATAATGGATGAAATCCACTGTAATTGCTATGTAGCTAGAAGTATTTTTACAAGTATGATTTTAGGAGATGTAACACAGCAGCACAGAAAAATGAACTCCATTGGAAAATCCACAGTATCCATTCCCAGGGCAAGACATATAAATGGTGTATTACCTGCTTCTGCTGCTGCAGTAATTCTGCAGTCTGCAGCTGTGGTCCATGATCAGTGCTCTCCATGGTGGGACGCTGGGAGAAATCTGTCAGTGGAAACACAACATCTTCTTCCTCCTCCTGTCGCTCTGCATCATTCACCTTCTGCTCAGACTGAATGCCAAAGTCTGGAAGGGCCTCAGGGTGCTCAATCTAACATGCAAGAGAGGGGACACATGAACATTCTTTTGCCATTTACCTTTGGGGACATAAATCTGCTGAAGGGCAAAGGGAAGGGACTCTTTTGCCGTGCATCTCCATGGTGGGATATATTGACTTCAACTCTGTAAGCTACAGAGTTAATCTTTGGGTGATACGATCAAAGAAATGATCTTTGGGTGATTTATGACGTTGCATATGTGAACACAGCACTGTGCAGGCCTGCTAAATAGGAGATCTATGCAGCTGAGAGGATGTGTGTTACGTAGCATGATGGATATAATCCATCACACATTAGAAAAACTATACAAGACATTGGTGTATTGTCTGATGAAGATTCAGAGATCAGGGAGTATCCAAATCTATCACTTTATTTTCTGTAGTGTGTTAGCAAAACACCACTCCAACAATGACTAGAGCTGGACTGACTATAAATTTACCAGTCAAAAAATCCAGACAGTCAAAAAATGAAAGCTATTTTGGTATTAGAAGCTGAGTTAGTTTACACAGAAGCAAGTTAGTACTGCTGAAGTAGAAGCTAAACAGCTTTTAAATAACTACTCATCTCCTTTTTTTCTGACTCATGTTAACAGCATATGAATGTAAAGATGTTCATCCACCCTTAACTAAGAATACAAAATACTAGAGCATTCAACTTAAGCATACTCCTACCAGACCTGAAAGGTTACTTGTACTGCCAAATGCAGCAAACACTGAAAAACAGTAGGCACAAAAGGATCAGAGATACTGAGAAAAATTTAGTTGCTTAGCAAAAGGTTTCAGAATTGTGTGAACCTGCAAAACAGATCTATTGTTCTCAAGAATTTTGTATAAAATGTCATAATGGGCAAACACTTTAAAGAACTTTTTTTCCTTTGGGTAAGATTTTCAAATCAAATGGTAATTCTGGGTGTGCAACTCGACACATTTGAGGAGCACCTTTCTTCACAGTGCATGTTGGCAGGCAATCACACCCTTGCTAAGGCATGTCAGCTTGGGGATTCCAGGTTGTTATGTACTTCTGAAATTCCTAAACTTGATTTAGTCTGTACTTGGAAAATTACCGTGATGACGACTGGTGTACTGCTGCTGACAGTGATAGACGTACGTATGAAGAAGAGGAACAAATAAGAATGATTTATTCTAAGTCCCCGCAAGAAGCTGCATAATTCTCCTGCCAACACGAAAACAGAGCTTCCCTCCATCTGTATTGATGAAGGCTTTGTAAGGAACACCCTGTGCACATGATGAGAGAAACAACAGCACTCAACCCATCTAAATAGATTTGACTCCCTCAGCTTGCTAATGTGTTTTTTTCTTTCAAAAAGTTACTCAGGAGTCGTATCTTTGAGATCCAATTGAATTTTCATTTACTATGAGAGAGTTTTTCAGGGACATGTTTGTACTAGTTAAAGGTTTCGATTTAAAGATGGGTGATCTGTAACATATCACGCAGAATATATTCTAGCACAAGCCACCTTAAGAAAAGATTTGTGTTTAATTGGAATCCCCTTTCAATCTATGGGCAATTATGAAGTTGCTGATGCCACTTCATATTTTAAGTCTACACATAAAGAAGGGTTATCCCAGTACTCCACTGGTTGTAGCTCATTTGGGTTATTCAGGTGGGACGGTTACCTCTAATGTGTCCTCCCCTTCCTCCTCCATCCGCTTGCCTCGCCGCCAGTGTTTCAGCAGCCACTTCAGTTTGACATACAACAGAAAGGTGTCCTGCTTGAAATGCCTGAGTTCTTGCTGCAGTAGACTTTTCTCCTGACCCCAGGTCTTCTCTTCCAGTTTGTTCTGCAAAGTCAAGCTCTGCACTTCCAAGTCTTTCCTCCGCAGGGTCTGCATATGCTCCTCCTCCAGCTTTAATGGAATGACAGACACCATGTCAATGGGGTGGTGTCCCAGGGCAGTCTCCAGGACTTGTACTTCGTTGGATGAGACAAACTGAAATCTCTGATTTTTATCAGTAGTGAGTAACTACTGAGTTTGGTTCAGTAAGTTCCTCAGCATTTAGGACTGCTGAGAAAATTAGAGGATAACGCATGATAAACTTTGCCTAGATAACCATATGCAAATAACCTGCTGTGGAACTGGATATTTACTTTAAAGATGCACAATAGCTCTGATGGTGGTTAAACAGTTTATAGCACTCATATTTTCCTCCCTCTCTTGATTGTACCTCTGCAGTAGGTTCTCAGTATAGCCACCACCCCACACTGCAGCACATACCATACCTACTAAATACATTTGCAGCCATTCATTGGAGGTGGAACCACAGCTGCCTTTCAGACAACCTGAAATACTGTGTTGCCTCTTCCCTCTCAGCCACAGACTTGTCCTTTCCTCCGTGGCTACATGTCCCTCTCCTTCTAGAAGGGCAACACTTCTGAAGGAATCACATCCCATATCTCTCCTACAACTATTGGCCCTTCACTTCTCACAATTCATGCTTGAAGGCATCTGAATGATACTGTAGTAAACAGTTTCTCATTCTGACATTACTGTGTCTTGGGCACACACAGAACTGAAGAGATAGGAATAGGTTGCAACTCAGCATTCAACATGTCTCAGCTTCAGTACTAGAAACACCAAGAGAAGCTCTTTCTTTAGAGGACACATATAATTACATCTGTTTCAATGCAAGGCCACCTCAAACATTACTCTTTAAATGTGACTTCTCCATCAATATTTCAAAATCAAACCATGGCATGACCTGCACACAACAATACTTGTACAAGTTAGTTGTACAGCATCTCGTGTTCTGCATGGATGAGATAGTGTTTCCACTTCAACCAAGCTGTGGTTCACATTAATGAAGAAAAGGCAGATGGAAAATGAGTGCAGAGCCGCTGCTTACAGATGTCAGTTTCCACTATTTTCCATTCTGCAGAACAACAGCCTCTCCCTTTCCTGACCAGCTCCATAGATGAAATCTATGAAAGCCACAGTACACTAATGACCACAACAGTTCAAACCATCGGAACACACCCTTGCAGCAAAGAGTGTTCACATAGGAATAAAGAATACTTCAGGAACAAGGACTCCCTAGCAATAAAAACTGATAGGAAATACATGTTTGATTTTCATGGCAACATTCAGATGCTTCTGACAGAGGTTACTAGTCCATACTAGACAGTTTACTACGGCCTTGCCTGTCATTTAAATGATCTGCTCCTGCATAATGCAAATTTTTAGCATCTATGCTAAGATGCCTTAAAAAGTTCCTGATTAAATTAAAATTATTTACAGTAGTTGCTGACTTAACTGTGTATCAAATGAAGCTTAAAAGCAGCTTGGAACAAGATTAGCTATAATGGCCCAAAAAAACATACAGGCAACTCCTAATAACACTCGGAGACTGTACACTCCCAGCATACATTAATTAGATGTCATTAAACACTCCTAAAAATGAAATAGTAAAAAAGGGCTGATTTTAAATTTAATTTTTACAGGAAGAAACAAATAGATTTGATGCTGATGCAAGTTCTTCCTCCCAATGAAGTTATGGTTAAATAGAGCAAAGATCTGATTCATTTCCACCAGAAATCCTGGTAGGTGATAAAAAAGGAACACTATCAACAGGATGGGCATAATCTGGAAAAAAAAATGAAGAATCCAGAAGACGCCTTTATTCTTCTATTTCTGCTAGCTGTCAACAGGAACAGCTAGCTTTGATTTTGCTGCATTTTTCATTGTTTTTACAAGCTGTAAAATCTAAGTCCCTGTGGTCGCAAATTCTTGCAAAGACTCTAGTGGAGGCAAATTCATGGAGGCAAATTCATTATGCTTTTTCAATGGATAGCAGTTGCAAAAAAAAAAACAACTTTAGGAGGTAGGCATAGCTGCCAAAAAGCTTCCATGGCCAAGGCAACTAGGAAGGAAATCAATTAACTGGTTGCCTTCAAAAGCTTCCAGTGGAAAGCTCCAGTGGAGATACCTTGGAAATTAAAGCTACTTATGAAAAAATGGAGAGATACCACTTGGGCACAAAGAGATTAGTTGGCACAAGGAAAAATGTTTTACACTACGCAACAATTATGCTGAGTTTAATCTATGAAGTAAATTTAAAAAGAAAACTTCAGTTAACAGCCAAACAGCCTGCCAAAATTAGCGACAGATTTTTTTCACCCCAGGAGCTAGAGATCACAAAACAATTGACTAATCTGTTCCAGCCTTCAAAAGAGCAGGGGGAGCCCATGTAACAAAATACGATTTATCCACCAGCTATTAACAAGAAGGTTGGAGGGTACTGAGAAATACAAGAAAGTCCTGATCTGTGTCTCAGTTATGTGTGCGTAACAACTCCTCTGACTCTGGAGAAGTGTTGGATTTTCTCTGGGCTAGGAGGAGTCAGAATAGGGCACAGTGCCAAACTGCACTCCTAGAGATCAAAAGCACCCTTCTCCCCAGCTCATGGAGAGCTGAAGGGGCTGATATAATTCTTCATGCAGTATTTCATGTCTCTACCATGACTTCTTCCACACAGGGAAGAAAGCAGAGAAGCCAGATTCACAGTGGCAAAATAGGCTTGAGTTTACATTTCCTCAAATTCCAGATTCTTCATTTACTGGGATGAGGTCAAACAGGCACAGCCATCAGGACACACATTCCCAAGCCCTGACAAACAAGGTCCACATCACACATCATGGTCATGCGTCTCTCCCAGCAGGTGGGTTTTGTATTTACCTGGATGATCCTTTCAGTAAACTTTTCTTGCTCCTCTCGGTGAAGTCTTGTCTCCTGCTCAAGTTGAGCCTGAAGCTCCTGTATCGATACATTCTGTACAGGTAAAACAGGGGAATCCCTGAGCTGATCAGCAGGACAAAGGGATAGGTTTAGCAGAAAATGTGTCTCCGTGGTGTAAGAAAAAGGAAAAAAGAAAAGAACTGCAGGACAGACATCTGCACAACTCACGGTTATCAATAGTTAAAACCAAAGCACAGTGTGCAAATAAACAGCAATGCCCTGAATATGTGTGGGAATTTCCTGCGTGGCTTCTTCTGAAGGCTAAAGCTGGGATGCTGGTGTTACATACTGGATATTCCCTTCAGGCCTCTGCTCTGGATTTACACTCGAATAGCTGAGACAGTGCACCATCAACGATGTTTGCCAGATGAACTCCTATTTACGGGATTACCTATATTTGGTGGTGCATTTCTTTATGACAATCAAAGCTGTAAAATTTTAACATCTCTGCAAAAGATTAATCTAATGTACATATATTGAACCTAATTATTCATTTGCAACACTTCTGATTGGGTAGTTAGTGGGATAACATTTATTAAACCAATGAAGTATAAAAGGTCCCTTTCTTCAGATACAAGACAGCTCTCTGCACAAGTTGACTTCATTCTGTGATTTCTACTCTAAGTAATTATTACACAAATCTAACTGTGATAAGCTGTGTGAGCCTGAGATCTGGCCAAAACGTTTAAGTATTCCCACTTTCAGGTCCAATACTATTTTAATCTTAATACTTTCAATGTTATGTTCTCATTAAGTTTGACATCCCATCCACTCTACTCCTGAAAGTTACTTAGAAATAAAGACCCGAGAAGGCAGAGTCAAATGTCATTATTTATACTAGGTTAGTCAACCCTATGGTACTTTTATTTCTAATCAGAACTTTCTATGCCCTTCACTTTGTGTCTCTGACATTGGAGCTAAAACTGATTTATCTGTACCAAAGTGATGCTTAGCTAGATGCCATCCTCTTCATGCGTGTGGCCACAGAAAACACTACAGCGCCAAATACCTAATTCCTAGAGTAAAGGCATATTTAAAGAAGGGATTGCTTCAGGCGTCAAAGCGTAATCCCAAATTCAGCTGGACGATGTCCAGTGCGTTTCAACCTCAGCAGCTGCGAGGACATAATAAGGTCGTGAGACTGCTCTCAGTTGTGTTGCCGTTTCCCCTCTGGCATCAGCCCTGGTACCCATCTCCTCTCCAGGCACTGCTTCCACTTTCCAAGAGCAAAACCAGCAGCTGCTGCTGTTCAGGCCACGGCAGCCCTGGATGGTACACTTTTGGTTATTCAAACTATATTTATCCCTGAAACATACACCCCTCTCTTCTCCTCTAGGGAAAAAGGAAATAAGGCAAATAGAAGGATTTCATAAACCACCTGCAAGGTCATACTCTGCTGAAAACCAAAAGTGGACCTACATACGCTTTTTGGGCACTATCAGTTCCCTCTTCACTTGAGTCATTTATTGACTTGGGCATGTCTGTTTTGTACCTGAGGAAAAGACACTTCCGGCCCTCTGAAAGATACACACAAAGTGACCAAGAGAACATTATCTGCCTTATCAATTTCATCTTACACCATAATGTGTCTGAAGACATTTTGTATTACATAAGGTCAAAACCTGGTCTCACAATTAATTTGAAAAAAAAGTAATTGTGATGGGATTTGGAAGTTTTGCACAATCATTTGTAAATCATTGGTTTAATTCTCTCATCCAACAAATGAAAAATTACTTTAATCAGAAATTTCTGCATTTTTTTATTCTGATCAGGCTTCTTTAGGAATATGGCAAATAAGAACCAATGTACCAGTTAATTCAGGTGTAATTCGCAAAAAAAGTCCATTCCTTCTTTTCATGAATTCAAAATCAGCCAAAATCATGAAAAGTGGATCTGGTGAAGACAGATAAAACATGACAAAGCTTTTCTCTTTGCAATAATCACTGATCTTAATATGCTTCTCCTTACAGTCATACAATTACAGATTTAGATAATTAGGAATGTTGTTGGTCTTGAAGCTGAATAAGAGCAGCAAATGTTACCTGGAAGGTTAGATTTAAATTTTCACTATTCGGCCCACACTTGTGTTTTCTGGTGAAGAATAGTTTGCTAAGAGATAATTTGTTCTGCTTCAAATTAGTATAAATTCAAGTCACATAGTTATGTATATACTGCCAACACCTTATGTTGGCAACATTAAGGCAAGAAAATGATCGATTTATGCAATTGTTTAATAAAAATAGTCCATGCAGAGCCAAGTTTCAGGAAACTTGGGTGCTAGGATTATGTGATAGCTGTTGAAATTACCAAAAAGAGATTAAATTTACCATAAAGCCAGATCGACTATTACGTGCACACTAAGTGCAAATCATTTCACAACTGCTTTGCCTCTGTAAGGACAATACATTTTTGTAAGTGCTACAGCAAACATGTTGAAAAGTTGCTATGAATGCAGAGTGGCACACCTCGTTCCTTCCAGTGAAACCTGAGGACTCTTCAGTCTATAATTATATATAATGTCATTTCTACCAGAAGCTTTGGGATTTGCACTGCTTATATCATGGGAGATAAGGCTGCTTAAGTGCCTAATAGATTGCTGCTAAACATCTGGATTGTGAATGAGGAATATATAGAAATGTATTATGTGATATTTGTGTGTGCAGTACATAATATACCTGATACTCCACTGATGGATGTTTGTATGTTTGTACATGGAAATCACTCCCCTATCATACAATCTGTAGGATGGCACCACTGTGGTTTTGTTTTGTTTTGGAAAGGAACACTGCTACAAAATGGACACAAAAGTTGATAACCTGTTAACTTCCATTCTTTTTTTTCCTTTGTTCTCGTCAAGGAATGCGCTACAAGAGGGACGTAAAACACCAGGAGTGCCAAGGCCACTACACATAGTACTGACACCACAGACGTAAACTCACTACAACGAGACATACAAACACAATATAATGGGAACTATGAGCTACTCTACCACAGCACCACAGAAACAGCTGCACTTCATCCAGAGCTCAACACCAACTAACATTTTCCCATGTATCCCAGTTATTGCATTACCAGATACACTTCCACTCCTGGCCTCCTAGACAGGCACTGCCAAATCCTTCTTCTCAGTTCTTTTATCTCACCTGTTATCACTCCAGAACAAGTTAATCCATGCCGAAGCTTTTGCCCCATGAGGATATGCAGAGAAAAGTCATCCGCACTTGGGGAACGTCACCACTGCTCTCTCACTGCACTGACCCCTTTCTGGCCCTCTCAGAATGCTGACAGCTTTTCAGGTTACTTACCAGCTCACACAATTTCACATTTCTGCCATGACTTGTTTTTACATGATTCCCATCCACCACGATGACTGGGTTTTACTTGCCTGTTTTCTCCGTTTTACCATAGCTAATTACAATCTCAATTTGCCTGCAAACTTAATCAATTTCTATGCAACAACTGTGAACATCAGATTTCATGGAATCTTTCTTTTTAATCTTTTTCTTTTTTTTTTTTTTTTTTTTTTCAGGACTGATCAAACAAAATAAGCCTGAGGAGGCAGGGAAGAATGATAGTCTCCATCATTTGTGTGCAATTCCAAGGAAGTCAAAAGATTAATTTTTATGTTGCTCCCCTAATGCCATGTAATAATGCTTTGATATTTGGACCTTACACTTGACCACATAGTTAAGAAACCGATACTTTGTCACATGGGATAATTGCATGCACCAACCAACCAGATCAGAAAGAAACTTTCAGAGCCCTTTGTAATACTTTTTACATGCAATACACATCTAATTGAATTCTCAGAAACTGCTTCTGAAGATGTACTCTTCTCCTCGTCCCTTGAAAATAGGTGACACATATTCCATTTGCTAGTGTACAATAGGCAGCTGTGTGGTTATTTGTCTGTTGCTTATATAGAAAGTCTCTGAGATTGGGAAAACACAGAACACTTTTCTCAAGTCTTTAAAAATCCATCTCATTGTATGGATAGTATACAAAGTCTCACTGAGTTCAGTTAGGACTCAAATATCCAGATTTACATCATAAAGGGTCTTCTAAGCCATTATATTGTCAACCTTTACAGAATCTTACATAGCAAGAAAGAATACAATACATCAAAGTAAGTTATTCTTGCTGCCCCTAATCTTGGTGGGAACAGCGTCAGTTTATCTTCCTTCTTCCCACAATTTTGCATTGGAGGAACAGTGGACATAAGCCACACCACTTTCTATGTGGTCCTCACTGGTTGTTGTTGGATTGTTTTGGTTTTTTCTCCAGAAGAAAGAAAGGCACAATATGTAAAACATTCACTGTTTCTTTTCTGGGAAAACAAAATCTTTAACCAGAGAAATGGATGTGCAAATTTTCTGCACATGGCTAGGAGCTGCTGCAGAAGCCATCCAGCTGAAAAGCATGAAATTATGAAAATTGAACAGAAGCACCAGTTAAAAAATAGAGCATTCAAAATATAGGCCAAAATTCTCCAGCTATGTCCAAAATGGATCCATACAGAAGTTTTGATTCAAAGCAGGTGGTAAAGTGACTCGAGTCGGTGCACACAACATAGGTATTAACTTAGAGTAATGGAAATGTTTTACATTTCTTATTGGCACGATAAGAAAGAAAATGGATAAATAGGTAAACAATGGCCTAGAAAAAACTATTCTTCTTCACTAAGTGTGAGCTATTCCTATTTCTTTACCAGACTTTATGGAAAACTTGTTTTTTAAGACGTGCTCTCACCTTCTCTAGCTTATCTGCTTTTATTTTTGTTCTCTTCTGGTGACACTTCATTCCTTTTAAGCAAATTCACTTAAGTGGATTTTTTTGCCATAACCTGGGAGTGTCAAAGATTTTGTGGCATTTTTCTACAGAAAAATAACTATGTAAGTCTTTAAAACCAGGTATGAAAATAATCCAAACCTGAAATGCAAAGATGAGTGCTTTTGCCTTTGGTGCTACATACTTACTCAGGTGAAGGCAGAACTGATACCTTCTGAAGGAATGGAGCTAGGAGATACAGCTCCAATTTAGGACACTGGGTATCAAATACTGTAACAAACCACATCTGGTCATTTGAAAGAGTAAAATTTTTCTTCTTCAGAATGTCTTTTTGTTTCTGAATAAATAGGAGCAGACTGCTTAAGGAAGCTGCCTTTTGTTTATGGATATTCCATTGGTAAAATTCACCAGAAGTATTTACCATTTTCCCCACTGGTTCCATAGTGTGTTTGCTCCAAGAAACATTACCTTTTTTAGTTCTTCTGTTTGTTTTAGTAAAGGCAATTCTTACTAGTTCATCTGCTTTTTCTTTGGATGGTAAAGAATCAATTCCCCTTCCCACCATAATGCAGCCCTGCTAAAATCATGAATAATGGATTGAATATCCACCCCAATGGGCTCCAGCCTACCACAACAGCAGCTGAATGGCTTGTTTCAGCAAGAAAACAAAGCCCTGCTCTTAAGGCAATTTCAAGACATAATTTCCCTTGGTCAGGGACTTTAACCAATCTCCTTAACATGCAAATGCATTCTAATAGTACTGTTGCACTAACAACTGCAGTGCAAAGCCCAAACAAAGGCAGATGTTTACAGTTAGGCTACAGGGTAGTTTCAAGCACATGTCTGTCTGCATTTATTGCATTTAATCAAACAATTAGGCTCCCACAATGCTCATTTTTAAAAATAGAAGAAATGGCTAAACGGAAGCTGCCCAGCATTGCTTGTGAAAATTTAGTTTCAAATTCAAACTTGGAAAAAACTAAATTTAAAAAAATGGGTTTGCTTGAAAAAAAAGAGAAAACATTTGCCTCAGTGAAATGAAATGTGTTGTTTTCATGTTGAAAGTCCATACACATTAAGAAGATCATCAATCAGTGTTATCCACTGGCCAGTGTGTATACTTTCACTTCATAAGTAAAGCAGATAAAGACTCATGTGTAACCATACCTGCTGTGGGCATTATAAGGTTTGAGTCTCCATCTGAAATTTCTGTGATAATAAAAAAACCCCTTTGGTATTCCAATAGTAGTTTATTCCTGCCCATTCATCTGGCACAAAAAATTAGTAGCTTGTGGTAGCGCAGGGTATGAAAAAAATATTTTAAAAATTACAATAAATCATGAAATTAAATTGAATAATGAAATTAAAAATGATACCTTACAAAATTATTTTGAGAAACTTTCTGCTTCACTTGGGTTTGACTACTATGGATTTTAAGATTCTATGTTGCTTAAGTAATAGTGATTGAAAAAACACCTTAGTCTTCAACATTGTCTCAAGTAAGGGCCATTTCAAGCCTAGTCTAACCCATATTTTGAGCACATCTGGTCTTAAACTGGCTATTGTCTACCTTCGATTATAATTACTGGCTTGTGCCTTGTCAGGCTATGGTATAAAACTGTCCATCCTCTATTTAAGCACAGTTTGCTGTACATAGTTTGCACATCATCCCATCCTGGGAGAGGAAAAAAAAAAGATATGCCAAAGTTAGACAAATCCCTAATCTTAACAGAGGGCTTACAAATATAGGCTTTAATGTAATAACAAGGCTATTCTAGGATAAAGAGAATTTAAACAGAAATATTGTAAGCATTTGCTGGGATCAGAAAATCTGCCATAACTATTCACCAATATTGATTTCTTATTGCAAAGGGATCCATGCTCAAGAGCAAGATTTCTCTACCTCATCCACCCATTTCACCACTGAGAAAGAATGACTTTACCTTTCACTGAGAGACTTACAGTGTTCTGGGTTTATCAGATATCCTTCCTGGGGTCATTACCACCGTTAAAAGTGAAAAGTTAGAAGAGAAGCTGCTGAGCAAATTCATTATACTAATATTACCAAAACTCTGTGCCATCAGGATACTTTAGACCAAACCAAACCAGGAAAGAATTACCTGTGTTAAGATGAAGAGTCACTCTCCATTTGATATTCAATACAGCATTGTTCTGCTTGGCTACCAGCTGCCCTCAAGTTTTTTCTTCCTACCCCTTCTAGTTCTTGCTATTGCTTACTCACATACCCAGCTATCCCAGGCAGCAGTCCCCCTTTCCCAGACTCATTTAGGGGTTTCAGATATATTAAGTCTTCTGCACATGTCTCTAGAATTAAAAATATATTTAAACTCATCCTTCACTAGAAGCTACTCTAACCATCTCAGTTTCAAGGTGGTTTTGGCTTCCCAGTGGCCAGCAGAAAATTTTTTCAGTGCTCAAAGCCTGGTTTTATGGAGACAGACTAGATTTGTTTTCTTCATGACCAATTGCAATGTCTGGACAATCTATGTTCATGAGAAAGCAGCTAAGGAGATGTTTACTGAGGCAGACATGGCCTCTGCATGATGAAGATTCAAATAAAAACTGATTGATGTTTTGACAAATGGAAAAGAACTCAACAACCCAAACAATGGAGAATATGCTTTAAATAAGCTTTTTTTTTGGAAGCTGCAGGATGGTGTGTTACCTGTTGAGAATCACCATGCATACCAGCATCAAACCCTGTGTTGCGCAGGCTACTGCCAGGCAAAACGCAAAGTAATCTCTATCTGTAGACTTTCCATATTTAAAATATTCACCAAGGTGAAACCTGGAAGCATGATCTAACTTCAGGGATTACAACTTCTTCTGGAGATCTTTCATTTCTATACTCAATTGGAGCTGGCCCCTGAGCTGTGCTTTTACCCTTGGCAAAGCTACTGGGAGCGGGGTGATGACTTCAGAGTCAGAGCCAATTTGCTTCTCTGCAACTACAAGAGGCAAACAAGATCAACCACAAATTTCACAACAGGGGTGCTGAGTTTGGTCTAATTTACTCCCCCAACCTCCTGGCTAAGGCAGCAGGAGGCAGTGAGTAAGAAGGGCTGCTTTGCTGACCTCTAGACTGAAACAGCCCTTGTCTCCTGGCCTGTAGAGTTTAATGTCTCCATCAGCTCTGCGGTGTGGGTCGGTGGTGGCTCGCTGGTGGTGAATCTCTTGCTCCTCTCCACGATCTTGTCTGAGCTGCCACTCCATCTGATCCCTCAGTTTGGACTGTTAGGTGCATGGGCGGTTTATAACAAAAAAACAAAAGGACAGGAGGGAATAAAGAAAACAAAAATGGGTAAGGTAGACGACTGGAAAACTACAAGACAAAGAAAAGCGTGAACAGAAAAAACAACTTAAATACAGTGGCATAAGAAAGTGAAGAGAACAAAACCAAAATGAGGATGAGCAAAATGATGGGCTGAAACATCTGAAAAGCAAAAAAGAGAAAGAGAGGAAAAAAGAATGCAAACACTGGTTATGAGGCGCATGCAATGAGGATGCATGAGTCAAACCAACAGCAAGCATACAAGTCATGAAGGATATGGGACACAAGGCTCTTCCTTCCTTACTTGTGCTGTGCAGAAAAGCCATATCCAGTGTGGCAGTTGTGGCAGTTTAGACATGCGCCCATGGGCAACGCTTTAGGCAAGGCAGTCCTTCGCTGGCTACAGAGCTTCTCACCCGCTGCTCGGTTAGGGGAGTGAGCTGTAAGCAGGCTTTTCAAAACACATCACTTAGAAAACTGCATTTGGATGGGGTTCTTTTGGCAAGGCTTTTGAGAACATGCCTGACCCTTTTTACAAGAAAGCATAGTAAAGACCTCCTCACATTTCTTAGCAAGGCTTCTAATTCATCAGAATTTATTTATTTTTTTAATTAATCTCCTCTTTCATGGGGAAACGCTGTTGTTACAGACAAAAACAAGACAGATCTCTCTAACACCAGTGGATTAGCTTTTTTGCCATGAGGAACCGCCTCTGAATCAAAGGAGTTGTGCAAATAAATAAAAGGAAAAAACTATAAAGTGTTTGTTTAACATTACACACTTCAATACACTGCGGGTCTGAAATCATAACAAAGCAGCTGTGAGGAAAATTAGCTCTAGGGTAGCAATGCCAGAAAGAAAGAGAAACGATAAAACAGAAAGAAGGCAAATAAGAGGCTGACTTACCTGGAAGTCGGTGATTAATTCCTTCCCCAGGTTACCAATGGGAGAGTCTCGGGACATGGATGTCATTGTGGATAGAAAACTGGAAGACTCTGTGAGATGGGGAAGAGGAGAGAGGTCCTCCATCTGCTCCTTAAGTCCCTCTCCAATGTGATCAACCTTCTCCAGGAAGGTCTGCAGCTCCTTCCGGAAAGCTTTCATCCTGGTGTTGACGGCGTCCAGAAGCTCTGGCTCATGCTTATCTTCTCCCCTTTCCTCACCACTTCTGAAATCCTGCTCAGTGGATGGGCTGCTGGTTATGTGCACCTTTGCATCATAAATCAAGCTGTCTGTGTCAGTGATAAGGCGGTCCACCGTCCTTTCAAGCCGCTCAGCCTCACGTTTGATGTTAATTAAAGACTCGGTGTCCTCTTTCACTCTCATGAGCTCGGCGGAGCACAGGTCGCTGACTTCTGATGGCTTCCCACTCCCAAAACCCGATGTCTTCTCATAAACTTCTTCAGAGTCACTCTCACCCCCAATGGGCCCCTCTCTCTTTGGCTGGGGTGGACGACCATCTTCGCTGTCACTCTCTTTTTTCCCGGCATCGCTGTCAGCGTCACTGTCCCTGGGGCTGGAAGTGCGCAGGCCCAGGTGAGAGGCAAGATCGTAGCGCTGGACATTGGACATCAGGACCCTGTTCTCATACTGGAGCTTCATCACTTTCCCGCTCAGCTCATTGATTTGTGACCTGGCCGACTTCAGCTCCTCTTGCAAGGTCCCACCGCACTTGGATGCTGCGTCATCCAACCAGCCAGGCTCCTGGCCTGGCTCAAACTTGAATTTGTTCAGCTCATTCGTTAGCTGCTTGTTGTGATCCTCAATTTCGGAGATTGACCGCCTCAGCAGCTCTGCTTCCTCTTCCACAAACTGCAGGTGCCTGCGCAGCTCTGTGGCCGACTCCACGGAGTCGCCGTAGGGCGAGGTAGGAATGCTTGAAATGTGGTCCCTGCTGAGACACTCTTTTTCATACTGGCACCTCATATCCTCCATCTCAGCTTTAATCCCCCTGTTCTCCACCTCCAGTTCCACTATTTTTCTGCCCAGTATGTTGGCTTCCTCCTCCACCAGCTTCAGACGAAGCTTCAGCTCAGCCTCCCTGGTGCTGGGCGGGCCCCCTGCCTCCCCGGTAGGCAGGGGACTGTCCACATCTCCATAGATGGACTTGTACTTCTGGAGCTCCTGCTCCAGCTCGTCCTTCTCCCTCCCCAGTCTGGCCATCTTCTTACGCATCAGCGCTGCCTCCTCTTTGGCAAACTGGAGCTGGCACTTCAAATCAGCACTGTCCTCCTGCCAAGAATAATCACCCCCCACCCCAAGATTATATTATAATACAAGCAAAATCAGCAGCTGATTTTCCAAAATCTCCACCTCCCCATCCTCTGAGGATATCTGTTAGGTATGCAAACAATACACAGACAGAGCTGCGCACACCACACAGTGGACACATTTCATGGCTTGGTCTTGGTTAAATTGGCAAAGCAACTTGACCAGAGTTAAAGAGGGGGGCAAAAAAAAGTGTGCCTATGCAAGTGTTCAGTGATGCAAGAGTGCCAGTGCAATGTTTTTTCCTCAAATACTGATCAAATTTTGTGGAAAATAAAGATTCAAATGAAAAGGCTCCATGATTTGTTGGCACTTTTTGTCACATTGATGCTTGATGGCACACTTTAGCATCATGAAACAAAGACTGCACAGATGAATTTGCTCATCATAAATCCCAAATTTCAGGTTCCTTCAGATAGAAAGCACAAAAAAGGGTGTGCTAAACTGCATGTCTGCCTTGAAAAGTGAAGACTTTAATTACTATGATCTCATAATGCTGTGAAATAGATGAGTTCCTAACTTGTTTTCCAAATAGGAAGCAACTGTTGTCTCTCTGCTGTTATTATTAGGATGGAGCAGATTGTGATCTCTGTTTCTGGTATGGACAACTGTTCACAAGGGAGATTGGTGAAAACATATGAGAAAGGAAAGAAAAATTCATTAAACCGTGTTTACATTCAAATACATCCCATGTGAAAACCTGCATTTTTCAGGAAGTACCAGGGTATAGAACCGACTGTTTTGTTTTATTTGTGTGTGTTGGGCTTTTAAAAGCACTGCATCTCAACTCAGATGAAAACTCTAGTGTGTATTGTGCTGAAATAAGAGACAAGGTTAAGTAATTTCTAAGCCGATGAACAATTTCTTTGCATGAATCACTTTCATGAATTGTCATGGAGATACAGGCACTTGGCCTTGAAAGAGACACATTTATCAGCATTAGCAGTATAATGGAAGGCAGGCCTTGAAAGAGGATCTCTTGAGACGGTAGATTTTATCATTGTTGGTAGGCCATGTGGACATATGTGCAATTATCTATGGAAACTTCATTTCAGCCCCCGGAGCACTGTTATCTTTCACAAGCACCATTTTGTTATAATTCCTAATAATGGAAACCAAATCCAAAGAAAACATGACTGACTTTAATTGTTCATCCAGATCAGGCTAATGAAAAAAACCAAAGATTACAAAACTCATTGTGGCTCAGCAACCTGAGGAAATTATTTAATTTCTATAGGACACATCCTAGCACATTGGTAACAGTGTCTTCTGTGTTACCAAATCATTTTCATCCCTTTCTATTTAGATATATACTAATTATGTCTTTATTTCAGATATTAATAACTAATAAAAAAAGTAATTGGTTGTATACTTCTGAACTCAGTCAGCTTTCTTATTGATGCTGCTTGCTGCAGGTTGGGACTTTAAAAAAACTGAATAGTAAAAAAGTTAGCTTACATGTTAATAACATATTAGAGGTAAAAAATAGTCAAAGTTTCTGTTAACGCTTGGTTTTCAGTGATAACCAAGAATCAAACACAGCTGCAATCAGCTTAAGGGTTGACTGACTAAAATTGTGGTAATCGTGTTTCTGGCACCAGAAATATGAGTTTTGTACGAATTCAGTCGAGGTGCATATGATTGATTAGAAGTAGAGCCTCTAAAAGATGGGCTTTCTATCTTCTCTATTGTCTCCTTGCATACACGTTCCTCTTTTTCGCACATATATTTGCAAATTGCTTTTCTCTTTGTAACTCAAAAGTGCAAATTAAGTATCAGATTAAAACCTGGCAAAATTCCATGCAGCCTCCACTGGAGTCGCTCTGAATTTTGGTTGCTCTGGCTGAATAAGGCTGTATGATTAAAGCACCATCTTTGGTCAGGGCTGTATAAAATATTACCTCTGTTTTTTCTACCATGGAGAATTGTTTTTTTCCCCACAGCTGTAGGTTTTGCTTTTAGGGAAATACAAAGATCACAAGGAAAGTTACAGCCAGAACAGTGCTGCACGTCAGAGTTCACAGGTGGGGTGATTACTCCTGGTTATTTATTTATGCTTATAGCTAAACTGACATTTTTTCTTATTCTGTTTTTTTAATCCAGCATTCCTTTCCCCCGCTTCTTGTCTGCCTTTGGGTTCAAGTGCCCAGCCTTGAGTGGCACTAGCTGGTGCCTTGCACCTCCCCAGGGAAAGGACAGCCTGCTCGCCCCCCTCTGCCCTGCCTGGGAACACCAGAGGCCAGCTCCTACCCAGGGGTCAGAGGGAGCTCCAGCCAGACACCCACTGCCTTTCAAACAGTATAAATAACAGTCACTGAGTGGCACTTGGGACAACACACTCAGCATTTCTGAAGCTTTTGAAGAAAAGGAAAGGGCTTCAACGAGGTTAGGGTCAGGGCCCCAATGTTTTTGCTTGGCATCACTGCATGACTCAATGCATTTGTGGAGTTAGCATGTTATTATAGCAGGACAAAGCTACTGTTATCTTCTTTAACAGCATTACTTTATTGCCAGGTTTTGTCTCAGTAAAATTTTTTTGGGGGGAATAAAAGAATCAAATTTGTAAGTTTTGTTTTTTGCAAGTGCTGAAAGAAACAAGTTTTTTCTTTACACAAATACAAGCCTCACACAAAACAACAAAGCTGATGAATGTTAATTTTGCCTACTAAATATGGATCCCATCTGGAAAGGTGAGAAAGCTCTAGATATTCCCCACTTCCCTGCCAGGAACATGACTACTGAAAATCCCATTCCCTGGACAGCTTTTTTCCAAAGGAAAAGAATGGTCAGGAGAGATTTATCAGCCGGATCTAAACATGCCAGAAGAGTAGGACTCCAACCTTCATGCATCTGTCCCTTGGAAACTTTGTGTACAGAAATATCAGTGATTTCTTGATCAGTTGAAATCAAGTAGAAACAGTGAGACGGTGAGATATCCACACAGGCAAGCAGAGTTTTGACACATAAGGTAAACTAAGGAGAGGCCAAATCACCAAAATTGAAAACAGTTCATGAGATAAGTTTGTAATAGTTCATAAGACAAGTTATATCACGGATGAAAAGAAAGGAAAAAAATTTAAAAAGAGAATAGCCTTTCCATCTTTTTGAAGAAACAAAAGGCTGAAATCCCAGAGGCTGAATCTGGACTATGGCCTCCTGACTGTATTAAACACCTGGTACGTGGGTGCTTTCCTAAAAGGTGTACATAGGACCCATCATATAAAAGGAAAAGAAGGAACAGTAGTGTAAAAATGTTCCATCAATCATGGTGCTCGTCACAGACTTTAAGATATCACTGAGGATAGATGGGAGTTAATGATTACTGATAGTGATTATTTGCATGCAATTGCACCGTGGCTGTGCATGGCGCTTCAGAAGAATGTTAATGGGAAAAAAAGCAGAAAGAAAAAACCCAGATCCCTCCCTACGGAGTCTGCAGTCTAATTTAGACAAATGCAGAAAGTGGAGATAAAGAAATGAAACATATAAGAAATAAATTAACTTAATTATGCAATGTAAATGACGGGATGAGAATGAAGAGCTGATCAAAAATTCCTCAATATGATATTTCTTTTCTGCCAGGAAGACACAAAGCTAGATAGAGGTCAACGCCGTCTCCTCTGCCACCACCACCAGCTCAAGGGAACTGCCAGGCAGAAGATGGTTAAGCGGTTTTGGGGTTGCAAGTCTGACGACAGGGCAGTACGACCAGCACCCAAGCATCTGGCTGAGTGCCAGCACTCCTACCTTGCGCTGGAGAACCACTTTTCTTTGTGTTTTGCCTGGTGCCTGGTATTTTCCAAGAGGCTCCGTTTTGCAATTCTGCTGAATAAAAACTTTTTTTCTTCAATACTGCTAGAGGTGAGTTAGTGCTACCATGAATTCTGCTTTTACACGACTTCAAGACAATCAGCCTCATGTGTATTATTTACCTGGTGTGCCCTGCAGTGGGTGCAATGTTCCAGCTAATTTTCACGAAGAGCTCTCAGCAAGTAAAAACCCAGGTCTTGCCATATGCTATACATACCTCTAAGTGTGTGGATGCATAGAATCTAAGTTTGTGGTTGCTTCTCACTCACAAAACATATAATGGGTATTTGAACTAACTCTACGTACTTAGGATGGCCGTCCCTCAAGAACAACATTTTGATCCTCCTGGGCTGTATCTGTACCAACCCTCTTGGGCTATGCCCCCGGACCCAGTGGTTGTTTGACCAGGTCGGGTACTTGCTGTGGTGCACACTAGAATATACCTCTGACTGGATATCTGGGTTTGAAGAAGGCTCTGGGTAACACCCTAGAACTGGGAGATAGCTAGGACACGTACCTGTAGTCTGGGCCATGTCATTATATAAGATTGTTTCTCAGTCTTTCCTACACTAAAGAATTGGTGAAGATAACTGAGTGGCCACCTTGCAGAGTGCTGACGTAATGGTTTTCATTTCCAAGCCCAAATCCTTTCCTTGCATGAGTTACTATGTGTGTGTGTGCACAGCATGCAAGTTCTTCTCCCCATGTGGCTTCTGGGGTCACTTCCCCACATTGCAAGTGGTGCTGAGCTTACTCTTGGTTACTCAGTTAATTTTGGGAAGTCCTTTTTAAGGCTTTCCCAGGCAAACTACAACTACTCTTAATGCCTGGATTTGGGCAGATGAAACAAGCACAAGAATCCATTTCCTTCGCATAGCAATGTATTTCCAGGAATGAGGAAAGGAAAGACAGTGCTTCCCACAAACTCCAGTGGACACAATCGTGCCTTCAAGTAGCTTCACCTGTAATCTGTATGTGTGCGGGTACGTGTATATATTTCATCATGTATTTTATAGACCTGCAGAAAAAATGAACTCTCTGACCTGACTGATGACTTAACTAATTCCCCATGGCAGGCACTGCAGGAAGAAAGCCCAGTGCCCCATTTTAAGATCTGATTAAGCCACGTTTGAATCATCTTGGCAGGGACACTCAGTCTGCCTCGTCCCAGGAATGCAGGCTGAAGCCCTCTGGCCACCACAATTCCTCACTCTACCCACTCAGCTGCCTGTCCTACCCCCTCAAGTTCAATGTATTGTAGTTATTTATCGTGGTTATTATTATAAATCAATGGATTTTAAGGCCAGACAACCCATAGGTCTTGGCTGCATACACTAATCCTGCCAAGGGGGCAGCAGGGGAAGTGCATCCTTTCCCTAATGAAGGCACGATGTCACTCTTGGCTCCTTTCCCAGCGAGGTGAAATACTATCCCCATCTCTCTGGCTATAAACAGAAACTGCACGGGTGCTGGGAAAAGCTTTAAGTCCTACAGTCAGCACAAAAAGCAGAGGAAACAGGGCAGACCGCTTCCCTGAGAGGGATCAACCTACGTGATTTCAATAAAACCAGTGTCCAAAGGGAGATTGAGTGGGTAGCTTAGGCTCTGTGTTGTATCTCAGACTGGGGAGCACAGGTTCACGTTCTGCCCCCCTGACACCAGAGAGATCAGACTCTGGGCTGCGACACAAGAGCTCGCGAGGTGTCGTTGCAGTGTGCAAACTGCATTCCCTGCCAAGACACTCATTAGCACAAACTCTTTGGCACTGTGTATAAATTTAGTTAGTCCCTAAGCTGTGATCCAATTACTTTGTGAGGAAAGGTTATTTTCTCTTCTTGTAGAAAACCTGCAGCCTGAATCTGTGGGATACAAGCACAATGAGCCCGAGAAGCTGCACAGTTTAGAGACTACACTTGTGTCCTAAATTGCTTCTACATTATCTTTGGGAGGTCTCAGTAGATTAAGGCCTAATTGCACTCTAGGTAATATGCCTGATGGCCCTGTCAAAACCCATAGAAAGAAATTCTGAGTTTTAGCATGTGATTTTGCTCAAAGGTGCATGTTCATGAAAACCATACCTGAGTAAATGTCTTTTTTTCTTTGTGGATTTCTCTGCTGCCTCTTCTCTTCAGGGAACTCTGCAACAGAAGCAATGTTGAGTTATTGATAAGCTAAACACAAAACCTGCAAGTTTGGTACGGCTCACCACTATACAATCAATTTAGGAGAAAGAAAGAATATTCTCCTGAGCAACTGGGGATTTCATTTTTCATAGTAATTGTTTAAAAAAACCAAGTTGATCAGGTCCTTGTCAGTGAATTTTTCAATGTACAAAATTTCCTACCAAAACAAGGAATAAAATTAGTTAAAACTTCACAGAGCGGGGACACTCCCCACCTCTCTCTTTTCTTCTATGGACCATCCCAATTTTTGGCAAAACTTCCTTTCTGAATGGGGCAATGATTCATGTTTGATTAATCCAGGGCAGAAATCCAAGAATCTTACTCACAGTGGATGTGAAACACATTGTGGAAACCTCAGAGAAAAACAACCCCCCCAAAAAAATAGGCAAGGACATTCATGTCTAAGCTATGTGGTGTGACATAATTGGTCACAATTAACTTGTGCTAGCAAACATACTGAGGAGCCCAGATAAAGACCAGGTAACTCTCTGGGTATCTCTGAATTTACTTTATAAATCATATTTTATTGGCTTTGCAAATCCTTATATCCCTTTGTAAGAAAGTTTTTTGAGATGTGGAAATGATGTCATCACCACTGCTTCATTTTCAGAAACTTCTCAGCAACCAAATGGAAAAGCACGGTTTTCCTGAGAAGTGAGAGGTGGAGCACCATCAGCACATTATCAGTGTTTGCACTGACTTGTGTCTCAGGACCAATGTTCAAACCAGTGTGAGCTGGGCCTGTTTAGAAAAAGCATAAATTTGACACTTTCCATACTGAGGTATCAGAGGGGATCAATAGGGATTTGGTAAAAATTTAGCCCAGTGGGTTAAATCCCCGTCTCTGTAACCCAGTCTAACCCAATAATGCAAAACATGAGCCCAGTGAAGAGGAAGTGAAAGGAGGGAGAGGCATCCTGTTAATTGGCTAAGCCCAGTCTTGTGCCCAACCATCAGCTGGCAGAAAACATGATGTGAGCTCGGGGACTGGCACACACAGCCCATGCAAACCCTAACCAAAACCTTTCCTTGGCCTTGTGGTTTCTGACAGTTAAGCTATGCAGCTACTGCACATTATAATTACTGCACACGAAGACAAATCTCTCCTTCTGCTCTTTGTTATACATAGTTAAGTAGTTAAAACCCATTCATACACAGCACCATATGCCCAAGACATACTACAGTTTATTTTTGCTAATCTGCTCTCTGCTATAATCTAGTGATTTCCTATAATTAATGAAGCTGAGTAAGAGAAATGTCCTTTTCTGGATACTGAAACAGTTTAATAAAAAAAGACTTTAAACACTAAAATCATTGTATGAAAACCTGTTACACAAGCTTAGCTAGGATAAACAGTTATTGTTTTTGTTTGTTTGTTTGTGTTTTGTTTGTGTTTTTTGTTGTTGGTTTTTTTAAATTTTTATTTATTTTTATTTTTATGTGGTATTCTGGAAGCAGATATGTAACTGAAAGCAATTACTAGCCCTGGCATGCAACACGCATGGTTATGGCTGAAGAGATGAGGGGCATAGCCCTTGTCCTCACGCTCACTTCTTTTCTGTGTGACTTCAAGCAAGAGCAGCTTGAGTGAAATGAGGTTGTTTGGATACTGCATTTAATTTGTAAGCCCGTAGAGTCAGGGGTGAGGCTACCAGTTTCTGTGGGTAACTGCATGCACAATTGTAGTAAACAGCTACTAATCCTGCTAGAAGTGAAAAACCTTGTGCCAAATGCTAAAAACCTCTTGCTCTTAGGTATAGGTAGAAGATTACACTTAAACACATCCAGCTTTAGAAGCTAAGGAATATAAACACATGGGCTATGGTGTGCAAGAGAAAGCAATAAAGCCTTTGCTGTGTTGTACAGGATAAATAAGGGGAAGGGAATTGAAATTTAGGTAGATGACATGGCTGAGAAATGGATAGGTAGTGCTCTGGCTTTGGAAACTATAAACTCTACTCATCACCGAAACAATGAATTCACAGAGCCAGACTAACAAGTCTGTAACATAGTGCCCTAGATGAGGTTTTGCTTTAAGTATTTTCACACTGTCCCATTTGGATTTGCGTAAGAACAACCTTGTGATCAGTGCTCAAGTGGGAGACTGCTTTGCATTTCCATAAGGCAGAGACAACCTTAGGCTGAGTCTGTCCTCAGTGTAAGAAAAAGAATGACATAAGAAAAAGAATGGACTATTTACCTCTGGGAATTACCAGTGGATTACAGGCAGAAACTTCCCTCCCATGTGTCAGTGGAGGACTAGAAACACAAGCATGGCAACAAGGGACTGCCTGGCCTGAATCCCCTAACCCAATATGAAAGCAAGGCAAGATCTCCTTTTCACCACCATGGGACCAGGCTGCATGTGTGTATGAAACAGTAACCGATACAGCTGCGATTTTAGCTGGACTAAGGGCAGAGGCTGCTGCAGCAAAAAGAAGTAGGTGGAACGCACTACAAACTTAAATTATTTAAAATGCAAAATGGTCCAATAAATGAGCATTTCTCTTTGATGTACAGGAGACTGGCATCAGAAGCTGATATGAATTAATGCTAGAAGGAACATTTCTATACTACTTTTTATACTCAAGAGACCAACCAGGGTTTGTCATCTACCAAGAAGTGTTTCAGTGACGGTTAAACAAGATTTTTTTAGTCCTTTGGTTAACACAGTTTCTTAGGGAAGTGGTCATTTGCCAGACATCTTCTCCCTCTACCTCTTGGCTACCAAGGAGAGCTAATATATGAGGGCCCAGTATTTTAAAAGTTAAACTTCCCAAAAGATTATTGGATGTAGCAACTACAGTACTAATAGAAGGAAGAAACACAATTATATTCACTTTCCATAGAAGCCTAGCATGGACAGGAAGAGGTATTTTGTGCCTTTTCGTGAATTCCATTTTTAACAGGTCAAAGAAGAGTCGTGTGAACTGAGCAGTGAAAGCAAGACTACCCACTCCAGCAAGCAGGAATCAGTGCACTGGAACTAAGAGGTTGAGCAAAACATGGGAATAAAGTTTGAGTTAAGAGCAGTCCTACATGTAAACACATGACGGGCCCCAAGTTTTCTTATTGAAGCAAGTGCTGAGCAGGATGAGAACCGAGCTGTGAACAGGTGTCAGTAGAGAAGGACTTTGAAAATGAGGGAACCAAGAGGCCCTAAGAGCTGCCAGCCTGTCGCTTTATTCACTGCTGCTGAGAGGAGCAAGTAATTTCGGGCACAGTCTGGCACCTGCAGGCAAGCATGGGCTTGCTGTCATAAGCGCATCAAACTGAATCTGCAAAATCAAGTAGTCGGTCACTGACGTGACAATGTCTGCAACTTAAAAACAGAGAGGCTGGCTTGGAAAGTCCAGCCCTGAAGGCAATTTCTATCACTGTGACGTGTGAGGAATTATGCACAAGCATCACTGGGGCTTATGAGCTGTATAAATAATGTTCCATGCCAGCGATGGCTTGCTACCGATTGCTTTGAAATGGATAATCACGATTTTCATTTGCACTCATTAGAAAATACAGCCTGTGAGGTATCTGACAGTACTTAAAAAGAAAAATATGCACAAGTGACCAAATCCACTTGCTCTAACTCCAGCAGTAGGTGAAGCAGAATGCTTGCAGATTACCAGTAACTGCAAGGCTAACAGCTTCAGAGCTGCACATTAGCTTTTCATAATAAGAGCCAAATTCTTGCTAGCTGTTGAGCCCTCTCATGTTCAAGAACGAACAAAACATCCAGAGAGACATAATCTCTGTCCCACAGAATGTGACTCATTGGGAGATCTTGCCAATGGACCAATTCTTTCATAGTGGTTACTCTCCAAGAAACACCAGTGATTTAAATGAAGGTAATTCTGCTTGGCATCTATGTGAATCGGAAGAAAACTAGATCCTCTTGTTAACAGGTGGTTAGAAGGTGGATTTATCCCCAAGTGATGTAAACCAGTGTTTGTTCACTGCACCACTAATCACTGCTCAGGAACGCTTCACTGCAAGTGTTTTCCAGGCACTGCGTAGGACCGCCTAAGAAGATTATGGCAGGAGGTGCAAAAAGCTAGGGATCTCTGTGTTCCTTCTCCAGCAAACCCCCTCCACACAAATGCAGCCCTGCTGGTCACTCCAGGCAGTTTCCCTCTCAGTTTCTTGCAGCTTTGGACTTGCCAGACCCTGATATCCAGGGGGTGCATGATTCCCTTTCATCTTACCGCTTCAGACCTATCCTTGCTTGTCCAGTCTGGTAGATAAAGAAACAACACTTTGTGCAGAGCTCTGGAACTCTTAACTCACTAATGAATAAAACCTTCTAAGAAAAGAACACTGAAATAACTTCACCAGGACCTCTTTCTTTAGGAGGGGTAGATTTCAGCTATCACACTGCAGCTGTTCGGTACTGTTACCTGCCCACCTGGTGAAAAGGAAGCATTTCCAATTTCTGTAGCAACATCCCTCTTTTAGGTAGGACAGGGTGGCTTTCCATTCTTCCTTAAGGCTTCTCACTCTCAAGTATTCAACTGAAGTTTTGTTCTGCTGCCATCCCATGCATCTGTATTACAATGGCTGTGCAGTGAAATTACGGTGCCAGCTTTCTCTTTGTGAACTCTTGTATGTATCTATGGGGTGGTTAACGGAACTGGAAAATACAATGACATTCTAATTGCTTTTCAATTGCTGTAGGCCCTTGAAAAAGATATCTCACCAAGCCCCGATAAAGCTGGGCTTGACGCAAGTGATCTATATCTCCATTCATTCCCATGTGTGTTTCATTTACTAGAAAACCCTAAATACTGTGATATTCATCATTCACATGATCTAGCAAAGCAAGTTATGTTTGAAATATCATAAGCATTGCAGTTCAGGATAAAAGCTATCCCTTGAGTAAAAAAGCAGCAAAGCACACTAGCTTTCAGCACCAGCTTAAATTTCCCTAACACTGCATTACTCTATTGTACTAAGCTTAT